TCAATGACCAATATGCTCCCAAGCTCCTCTCCTACTTTTGTCCCATATTAGCATGGATTGCCTTTTCTGCAGATGGAAACATTTAATATCTAGAGACAATGTCAACTCCCTGATCCCATTCTTTCTTTAAAATTTTATATAAATAAAACTTCTCAGGGAAAGAGGAGGCTTAAACATTTAGATATAAAATGACCAACACAGTTAAATTATCTATTCTGGGGGACGATTTGAAATTTACTTGTAGTTTAACACATCTATTTTTTAACCCAAGGGATAAAGCCTTGGTTGTAGATTCTCTGAATTCACCCAACTGTGTACAAGGAGTTTTTTTTTTTTTTTTTTAAATTCAAAGGGACTGGGAAAATGTGGGTTAGTCATCAAGTGTTTCTGAAAATCAGCCAGATGGTCTCCTTCATTAGCTACTCTTTAAGTTGGCCCTGATATAAAGAGACCTTGAATCCAGCACAACTCCTGACTGTCTACCGCCAGACCATAACTGATCTCTTTGGATTCAGGCCATGCTGGAGCATAGCAGGGGAGACCACAGGGCACCTACACATCTTACAACAGTCTTCTTTGTAAGGCTAAACAAATATTTGCTTCCACCATACAAAGCTGAGCTATGGGATGGGGTATTTTACACATATATTCCTGTGCACCTACAGCTGTGCTTCTTGTACTACAAGCTGTACCAACATCCTGAGCTGGGGCTGGAGAAAAGGCAGGCAGGATGCTGGGAGCAGTCCTGCATATTTTAGCAGCCCAATGTCCTCATACATCCTCTAGGAGCTTTCAGAGCCCAAGTCAGCAATACAGAACTGGAACTCCATCTTCTACAGAGAGGTGGAAGATTCCAGATGCCATTGATAATTAATCCATAGGCAAAAATCATAGCTAGGTCTGTATCTTTGAACACCAGGTATAAGAGACATCCTGAAAGATGTATGAGATGATAACCATAAGTAATATTTAGCAATAAACTAAGGTTTAAGCAAATTTAATGGGAAATTCAACAGTAAAGAAAAAAGGACCTGGATTGAAATACCAGGTAATTGGTGAATCAAATTTGCCATCCATCATTCTTGAACTTGTGCAATTGGCTAAATCATCAAACTACTCTCTCCTCAAATAAGAGGCAGTCTGCAGGATTTTTCCCTCCCTTTTTATTGAAAATAGATTTTCTCATAAATCCTGATTATGGTCTCCTCTCCTTCTACTCCTAATTTTCTCCCCACCTCCCCTCCCATTCAGATGTACTCTATTTCTCTCTCTCATTAGAAAACAAACAGGCTATAATAATAAAATAAAACATAGTAAGATAAAACAAAAACTAATAATGCCAGGATAGGACAAAGCCAACAAACAGAAGGAAAAAGGCCAAAGGAAAGTCACAGGAACCAGACACAGACAGAAACACACAAATGTGAACACTTAGGAATCCCATAAAAACACTAAATTGGAAGCCATAATATATACTAAAAGGACATGCAGGGTAAAAAGAAAGAAAAATAAATAAAAATAAAAGCTCTGACAAGACATTTGAAGACAAGGGTTCTCCAAAGATGCTGTTGAGTTCATTTCCGTTGGCCATCTACTTCTGGGCATACAACCTTCCTGTAAGGTAGTTTGTTTCTCCATTGAGACTCCCTTGAGAAAACAAAATTTTAACTTTAGGTGGTTATCAACTGGAGATCTGGAAATAGCTTTTGAGTTAGGGATGGAGCATGTATCCACTCACCACCCCCCTTCCATCTTTCTTTGTGAGGTCACTTTGTAGATCACACTGGCCTTGAATTCACGGAGATCTGCCTACCTCTGCCTCCTGAATGCTGGCATTAAAGGCTTGTACACCGCAGTACCCAGGGAAGGCCAAGGTCATCCAGGGCCTGGATTTGGGTACAGAATCTTCTCAGGAATCTGCAGTTTTTAAAAGTAAATTTTAATTGAAACAGTAACTGTTTATATTAAGAGTTAGATAATATATGTATACAATGTATAAATATCCTGTCTGGGTAACGTATCTATCACCTCAAACATTTATAATTTCTTTATGTTAGAAACATTAGAATGCTTTCTACTAGCTATACTAGAATAGGCTATTAAATGCTGTCAGCCATAGCTAGCCTGGTATGTTACACAACAGAGCTGTTGTTCTGTCTGGAGCCTCATTTTTTCTCCAAATTTCCACATATGTCATCTTTATTCACTTGAAGATTGCCACAGTAAAGTTCCACAGAGAAAGAATCATGCCACAGTCTGAAAATTGGAAGTCAGATCAAGGTGTCAGTGAAGTTGTTCCTGCTAAGGGCTCCGAGGGAGAGGATGGGTGGTCTGTCCTGTGCCGCTTGCTCAGCTCCAGTGGTTTGCTGGCAATCTTGGGTGTTCCTTGTCTTGTAAAAGCATTATCCTTGATCCTCACCTGCATTTTCACATGGTAATCTGCCTATGTGCATGTCTGTCCCTGTGTCCAAACTTCTTCATTTTAATGAGAACGTTGTTATATTTGATTAAGGCCCACTTCAGTGGTCTCACTGAGATCATCGATGAAAACATCATTTCAAAATAAATGCAAACACACATGTGTAGGGGATTTTACAGCTTCTTTGTCTTTGGGATGCACACAGTCAATATGGAACACTGTGGGACCTCTGATTGTTATGACAGCTCCCTGGCAGGTACAGGGTTGGTACTCTCTCTGTAGTCTATTGGTAGTCTGTCTTACCTCCCTATGTTGCTTTGTAGGAAAGCAGACAATACAGAGTAGGAGACCAATGGGACCTCTTCTCAACTGTCCCACCCCACTGACACCAAATAAGGCACTTTACCTCTGTGAGCATCTAATGTTTGCTCTGCAAAATGGAGAAGTTTGCTAAGAAAAGTCAGTGAGCTAAACTAAAGTATTTGGCTGCCATATGGTACCAACAAATCATGTTATTATTTATTCTCCTTATGTTCAGAAGAGTATGGATTGATGACTCCTGGCCCTCACTCATCCTGGGGGAAAACTGCTGGAAGCTTCTGGTGTTCCAGTGTCCTGGAGATTCTGACTGGAAGGTCTGAAGTAGGACCAAAGCACTGGTATTTTTAGAAGCCTCTGGGTTTATTTTGATGTGCTGCTAGGTTTGAGAACTGCCAGGATGGATGGCAGGAATGAAACCCTAATGAGCCGTTTGCTGTGGCTGGAAGTCAAGAGAAGATGATTTATAGTTATGGAGTGGACAGCACATGCCTGATGGAGAAAGCTAGGGCAGCTTTTGGAGCACCAGTGAATCAGGTGACCTAGTTTTCACAGCTGTTTCTTGCTTTGTCACATTTTTTTCCAGGCCTCCCTGAGGTTGGAGCATCCCACTGAGACACTGTCCTGGGTTATCTTTCTTACCCGCAGTTGAATCTTCACCATTGATGTTTGCTCAGACAGGCTGTGGTCCTGCAGGACTGATGTCCAGGTCTGTGAGAGGGTTCTCTGAGAGAATTCAAGCTGGACCTCAGCCTGATGTGCTGTCTACATTTGAACAATGTGTGTGTGGGCTCAAAGGAGCCTTCATGGAAGACATCCGAAACAAACAGCTAGCACACTTGGGAACGGGTGTCTGCCCAGGTGAGAAGGGCCTACCCTGACACCCAACCCCCATTGTGATCTAGGGAGATTTATTTCATAGGAAATCTCTATCGTTGCCCCCCCAACATTCATGTGGGTTCTGGAGACAGCTGGTCAGGCAATGAGTGACAAGACTGGTCAAGTTGGCATCTGCCAATTTGTCCAGCTCAGAGGCAACATTTAGTTCTCAAGCCCATTTGCTGTTACAGGGTACCTGTGGCAGCTTCTGCCTCATGTTCTCTGGCTGTTCAATAGGCTACCCTGGTTTCTCTATTGAAAACTGTCTTCTATTGCTTCCCTCGAGCACCTAGATCAGACACTAGCCTACTCATCCTCTTGAAGAGCCCAGGATCGTAGTAAGCCTTGAGGGGCTGAACCAACAACCTTCTGGTCAGTGAATAATAGATGGAATGATCTATAAATAAAAGGAGTTTTTAGCTGAGTGGTGTTGGCAGTTCACACCTATCATTCCAACACTCTGGGAAGCAGAGACAGGCAGATCTGTGTGACTTTTAGGCCAGCCTGGTCTACAGAGTGAGTTCCAGCATAGCCAGAGCTGTTGTACAGAGAAACCCTGTCTCAAAGAAAAAGGAAAAGTAATTTTTAACAGCAATGCTATCAAGTCTCTAAACTTATTATCATAAAAGAGATTAGGAATGTGCATTTGTCCTTTGGTTTAATCAATACCAGTATGGGAACTTTAAGAAATGGCAATTCTCTGGGTTTTGAGCCCTTAGAATAGTTCGTTGGGTGCATTGCACCCTTTTTTTTTTGGTACTGTTCAGCAAAATCCCATAGGTAGTGAGTAGCCAGAGAAGAATGTCTCTTAACAAGGAAGTAGGTTGTATTTCTACCTAGCAAGAACTTAGATCATCTGGTGTTTAACATTGGCTTTTAGAGATGCAAAGGAGAAGAAAATAAAGTTTAGCATGGGGGAACATCTCAGCCTAAACCAGCCTTTGCCCCTGAACTCAGACCAGTCTTTCCCAGTCAACAAACTGCCAGCAACTGCTGATATCTGGGAAAGAGAATGCACTGCTTGCAGTGGTCCAAAGTGGAGAGAGCAATCTGTACTGTTCAGAGCAAGACCTCTCTCTGTGGACCTGAACGGCTTCCTGCTGTAACTGCAGGAACTGATACAGTTGAGCTGGATTCCCTGGCAAGCTCAAGGGTAGGTTTTTCCAAAAGTCATTTTAGACCACAAATGCACAGCCTTTCCATGTCTAATCATGAAAGCAAACCACTGAATACACAGTCTCTGTTTCCAGCTGGTTGTGTACACTTTCTTCAGTCTTACACACCAAAAAAACATGCCAAGGTGTGACATTTATGAACCCCACCAACTGGACGCCGTGCACACAGACTGCCTTGCCTGTGGTGCAGGAATGTGATGAATGGGGGCTGTTCTGTCTGGGAGGAGGGCTGCTGTCACTCTGGCAGGACTGCAGCCTTATTTATTACACACCCAAAGTATAAAACCACCCAACAGGCTGCAGCTCTCATCTCCAGACCTGGCATTTGCCTGAGGCGACCAAGGCACCTACAGCCCCCATCAGCTTCCCAGGGAAGAGTCTGTGGCTCTGTTGGGAGCCATGCTCAGGAGGCAGATCGTCTGGTGGCACCTGCTGGCTTTGCTTTTCCTCCCATTTTGCCTGTGTCAAGATGAATACATGGAGGTGAGCAGAAGAGCTAACAAAGCGGTGGCCAGGATAGTGCAGAGCCACCAGCAGACTGGCCATAGCGGCTCCAGGAGGGAGAGAGTGAGAGAGCGGAGCCATGCTAAAACTGGGACTGTGGATAATAACACTTCTACAGACCTAAAACCCCTGAGACCAGATGAGCTTCCACACCCTGAGGTAGAGGACCTAGCCCAGATCAACCCATTCTGGGGCCAGGTACTCTGAATTCTCTTCTAAGGATTTCTTTGCAAAAACCTAAATGACTGTTGTTGCTGTTGTTTTAACTATGATTCTTGGGGTTGACGCTTGTGAGCAGTTTGCTGAACTGTTTGTGGGTGTCTCTGGGTTGTTCTGGGATCCAACAGGGACTCCTCGTCATTGGCTTGATGTGTTAAGACGGGGGTGGGGGGTGGTGGGGGGTGGTCAAAGCACTGCCCCATCAGAACCGGCAGCAGGGGGAGTCAGCTTCTTTTGTGTTGGGGCTTCATTATTATTGCTATTTTTATTGCTCTGTTGATGCAGAAAGAAGGGCTGACCCAAGTGGACAGATGCATTGTTGCAGTTAATTATTTGTTGATTCCAAGAGAATTGGATTCTTTTTAATCCTCCCCAGCAGGGAGAAGCTGCCCTTTGCCTCTGTGAAAAACCAGTTAAGCCTGCTTTATTTTGATTTGTGAATTTTCTTTAACTTTTCCCTCTAGTTTTATTTATTTGTTTTGTAGCAATCTAGGTTGCTAATCCTTCCTGTTTAGACATTAAAAAAAAAAAAAAAAAAAAAAAAAAAAAACCAAACAGACTAACTCATTAAAAGGAAAGGAAACAAAAGACTACATATCTAAAACAAAAGCTCTTGAATAACTCAGTCTCCTAAAGACAGAGCTTGATTTATTTGTTGGTGCAGAAGCTGAGCATGGGGACATTTTCCTTAAGTCTTTTAGATGAAAAAGGAATCACCAAAGGTTTTTGGTGCAGGAAATTGCAAACCAACAAACTTCAATTTAATCAAAAGCAGCAAAAACAGGGAGAAGGCCTAAGTACGACAAATGCTTGTTAGCGGGAATGGAGAGAAGGGTACTGTGAATACATGATCTTTGAAGCAGTGCACATTACCAAAAGAACCATGGACTGGATGTTTTGTAGAGGCTTCTTTTCACGAGGTTGGGATCTTACCCCTCCCCCCCCCAACACACAGACTATCTGGTTGATTATTTGGTTCTGTGGTTAGACTAGGACCTGCACAGCCGCAGTAGCAGAACTGGGATAAGCCTGAGACACAGTGCAGTTTCCAAGGCCCTCTGTGGGCCTTTTTCAGGGTGCAGAGTGTAAACAGAGTGCTTCTTCAGAGACTGTCTTCACTCTGAAGATGTTTGCTTCAGTGAGCTTCATCTAACTTTTTAATGATCTTCTTCTTCCTTTCATTTGTGTCCAGTTCTCCATCTGGGCTTTCCATCTCAATGGATGGTGTCTTTTCTAGGTGTCCAGTGGGGTACTACGGGTTGTCTTGAATTATTTCTTGGCAACCAGCACCAGCTATGCCACTAAAATCCCAATTATAGTTTTGCTCTATTCCACATTATAGTCCTCTATCCCTGAATTCCTGAAGCATCTTCAGATGAAGACCCACATGGAGCTACCCAGGAGATTCAGAGCCAGTAGCATCTTGGAGGCTTTTGGTACCACTCCTCTACAAGTGGATACTGACAGACTGACTGACCCTCTTCTTTATACTAATTATCCTTTTCCCCATCACTTCCTCCCCAAGTATTTCCCAGCTTTGACTTTTTTCAAGCTGTAGGATAGGGACTGAGACCACAAACACACCCAAGCCTCTATCACCAAGCCACTCTGAAGTGCTCTATTAGGAAAAAAAGTCAATGTTTATTTGTTCATTCATTTATTTTTTTTCAATCTTTTTTTAATTTTTAATTTTTTATTAAGTTTTAAAATTGGCATATAAAGCAACAGGTTTTATTATGACAATCACTGAACTCATTCATATTCAACCAGTCTTTTTTGTTAATTTCTTAACTAAGCTTGATTAAATTCTTGTGTGGTAAACAAGGTTGATGCACAAAGAAAACTTGGGGAAAAAGAATAGTATTGGTCACTGGGCCTTAAAAACTTAGTGCAGAGAAGAGATAAAAAGATGGCTGTCCACAGCAGAGGTTTAAAGAATACTAGACAAAAACCCCATGCCACACTGAGGACTGAGGAGCCCATGATTAGCTGGGAGTGGCTGGGCCCTGTGCAGCTGGAGGAGACTGCAGATGATCGGAGCAAGGGAGTCTGGAGCAAGGGAGGACTGAACTAGTGTAGGAGTTTAGACTACACTTTACTCCTGAAAGCTGTGTCTGTGGTAGCAGGGCAGTGAGTTAATAAGGTCTGTGTACTAGAAAGGAGCTGGCTATAGCCCATGGCGGGTCGGAGCTGAGAGAGTTCTACATATCTATATTCTCTTCTTAGGGCACTTTCTTCACCAAAGCCTCACTCCACTTCCTTTTTCCCCTTCTCTCCCTACCATCTTATTTCTTCAAGAAAAACATTGTGGATTTTTTTTTTCTCCAGTCATTTATAGTAGAACACACAGGCTTCAGGCTCAGTGATTCTTTCTTGTAAAATACTGGCAGAGGAAGAATACTAACACTTAACTCTGGTCCCATCACTTGCACACTCAGGAATACACATATTCAACATATTTTCTCTCCCCTCGCCCCTGTATCCCTCCCTGCCTTCTTGATACACATCATTGTTCCTCTGAACTACACCTTGAAAGACAAGGTCAGATGAGAGAACATGTGATGAAGCATCATAGGAGGGTTCCGGGGAGGCAGCCAACTAGGAGAACCAGGAGCCTTGCACTGGTAGCAGCTCTGTGCTCCCAGACTTAACCCAGATGGCTTAAACATGTACTATTCATCCTTGTTAGCTCAGAAACTAAGAAACACCACATCCTTGTGTTCAGATACTAGACATTAAGAAATGGAAGCATCGGGGCTATCTCTTGTCTGAGCTGGTTCAGCAGGCAGAGGTGCTTGTTAACAAGTCTGATGACCTAAATTTGATCCCCCAGGACCCACATTTGTCCTCTGAGTGTCATATCATAAAGAAATAAGTCTAAAATTTGTTTAAAATTAAGTAAGTGAAAGATCTTTCAAAATTATTATTGAAAATTAAATATAATAGTATCTTTGCTTGTATCCTAGAACCTGGAAAGGAAATTCAGGGCCAAGTCAGACTGATGTCTGGGAATGGTGACTTTCTAAGGCCACACAGAAGTGATCAGGGACAAGGGTGCCAGCGCAGTGATTACTCTAGCAGTTCTAAGTACCTCAGTATTTCCATGCTGTTCTTAGACAAGTCTTTACCCCCTTTCTCTATCCATGAAACCCATCATTGGCAATACTCTGGATTCCTGGGGTACAGAAGCTGTATTTCACATTAGCAAAGCATCCCAGGAGATGATGAATATACTTCTCAGATGTGCGGTATGTGGGGTTGGCTGTGGGGTTTGATTTCCAAGTGTTTTCATCTCCAACCAAGTGTATTAGTTGATTTTTTCCTTAGCCAATATGAATTTATACAAGTCTGCGGTTGGCTTGGCAGACTTGAAACTAAGAGTTATCTCCAGCATATAGCTCTTGGTCCCTCATTACTGGATTCTGAGTGATGGCAACAGAAGGCATGGACCAGAGTGGGCTATTTATTCCCTAAATAGTTTATGGAAAACTTAAGGGAAAAGGTAGGGCAGTGACCAAGCCTATAAGACCAACCAATAAAAGTAAGGTCTAAATGTAGAAAATGCACTTTTCTCCGTGGAGGATATGTAGTGGCAGAGAAAACTGGAATGGTAAGTTCTTCCCCCTTTTTCTTTGCCTCACGCCCCATCTTTGTCCCTGTTCTATCCACTCTATTCCTCCCTTCTTTTCTTTTTCTTTTTTTCAATGAATCCCTTAGCAACAATGTGCTGTTTTCAAAACTGTTGAATTACAATTGGTGTCTAGGAAAGTTTCCACAAGTATTTTGCATGACACAATTAAAAGGCCAGTTGCCAGTGCGGACAAGACTCCAGATTTTACATGTTCTGACTCCCAGCAGTTAATTCACTAGGACTTCAGTTCCTTCACTGGAAGAGCACACTTCAGAATTTTATCTTTGTATAAATAAGAATTTTACTGGAAACCACAGTTGAGCATACGTAGTGCCCATTTGCACTCATTAGATATTAGTTTGCACAGTAAATTTAGAGGAGGAATGTATGAAATGTTAAACACAATGAAGTTAAAGTAGTTCAAGGTGTAAATAATAAAAACTGATTAAATGAATGCAGTTAACAGTAATGTACTGAATTCTTGGAAACTGCCAAGAAAGCAGATTTTGAATGTACTCATCATGGGAAAGCAAGTGAGGTAATGCTTATGTGCGTTAACTAACCATTCAACAAGCTGTACAGGCGTGTCTCCAAACAGATGTTGTATATTACAACTATATTTGTAGTTTTCAATTTAAAAATGAATACTAAAGGTTACTTTGTTTTCCCCAGGAATTTGTGTGCTTTAGAGATTTGGGAAGGTGGAGTTAGAGAGTTGCTGAGACCTCTAAGCCATCATCAGGAGTGTGGTGTTTAGTAGTTGCACTAGGAGTTGTTACTTGTTTGCTTTGAGGGATACTGTAGTCTAATTTTACCTGAGACTTCCAGGTTTTGAAGGGGGGGGGGAAGCTTCCCTGTCCTCTTCTAAATAAGATTCTGTTTTTGCTCTTATAGGCTTGCATGGGCAGATGCTGTCCAAGACATCCCCCCCCAACCCTCCCCATTCTCTGCACAGGCCCGCCTTCATACCACCCCAAGACACATCTGCATGGAGCTCCTGTTGTCTTTATCTTTGACCACCCACGCTCCTTAACTTCTCCTTAGCCCCAGTGCCATGGATATTCCCAGTGTCCCATACTCTTTCTTTTCTGATGTGACTGTGAATTTTGTTAAACTTACCTAAGGATGAAGGCCAGAGGAAGTGAAAAAGTTCGTAAGTGTTCACAATTATCTTTACCTGAAATTTCTTTTTTCATTTTTAAGTCTCCACAAACCGGAGGACTGCCCCCAGACTGCAGCAAGTGTTGTCATGGAGATTATGGATTCCGTGGTTACCAAGGGCCCCCTGGGCCTCCAGGCCCTCCTGGCATTCCAGGTAAGGACACAGAATTTGCACTGCAATTTCAATAGACTGTGTAAAAAATAGATGTCTAGAGCAAATGCAAATATTTGAGGTTGACTTATACTGTGTATGCATGGGAAATGCAGCAATAAAGAATCTGGTAGGGGAGTTGGGTTCATTAGGTCAGTTCAAGTGGAACACTACACTATAGCATTTATTCTTTACACTACTTAGAGAATCCAAGAGGCTTCAGATAAGCATACTGACACTCAAAGGAGGGGGGTTCTTCACAAGCCTGTGGATAGAGACACTTTCTGAGAACTGTGACCCAAATTAGCATCTATGCACTAGTCCCCTTCTGTTACTATTGCAAATCTCTTAGATAATCAACTTACATAGAGAAGAGGTTTATTTTGCTAATGGATCTGGTGATTTCTACCATAGCTGTCTGAGACTACTTTTGGGCCTGTAGTGAGGAAGTACCTTATGATGGAGGAGCTATGGAAGAGTAAAGTCACTCACCTCATGATAGCCAGGAACTGCAAGCAGAAAAGACCAGGTTCCTACAATCTCCTTCAGACCATATGTCCTCCCTGACCTTTAACCTCCAAGTAGACCACACCCTTTGGTGTTTACACTACTTCCCAAAGGCATCACACTGGGAAGCAAGCCTCTAACATATGGGCTTTGGAGAGACATTTATCTAAATCACAGCAGTCAGTGGTCACTTTACAGAACCATCCACTGAGGGTATGACTTCCTGTGTCATTTTAGGCTTAGGCATTTATTTATTTATTTGTCTATTTACTTATTTAATTTCACCAATCTTCGTTGTTTCTAGTTGATTTCCATGCCTCACTGGACTCATGAATATGTTTTGGGCTCTGGCAGCACGAAACAGCACAGAGTGCATCGGTTCCCCTAGAGCAGTGTGGTTCTCAACCTTCCTAATACTGTGACCCTTAATGCAGTTCCTCATGCTGTGAAGATCCCCAGACTTAAAATTATTTTTGTTACTACTGCATGACTAATTGTACTATTGTTATGAATCATAATGCAATTATCTGATATTTTCGATGGCTTTAGGTGACCCCTGTGAAAGGGTTGTTTGACCCCCAGTCCACAGGTTGAGAACCACTGCTCTAGATCCATGGTTAACCCGTCTGTGTTATGTTGTTCCAATTGCTGAGGCTCAGGGTCACTCTGTTAGATTGTTACTACAATGAACTGGGTGGACACATGGTAGACCCTTCTACTTGCCCCCACACCTGAGGAGTTCCTTCTATAAGAAGTCTGCTTGTGTTCCCTGACTTCTGCCATTGATGTTAATAATTATCAAAGCTGGAGTAACTCTTCTGTACCTCTCATGTGAAACCAAATTTATAATGAAAAACAAAACAAGACCAACAAATAGCCCCAAACCCTGTCCTATATTTAGACCTATGTCGTTGTCCATCAGAGGCCTCCATTCACACAGCCAATGATGTGAACCAAAGGATCTTTAGATCTTTGACCTCCTGTTGGTTGCACAGCAAGCTGGCTTTGGTTAAATGTTTCTCATTAGGAAGCACCTTTGTGACAGCCCCAAACCCTGTCCTATATTTAGACCTATGTCGTTGTCCATCAGAGGCCTCCATTCACACAGCCAATGATGTGAACCAAAGGATCTTTAGATCTTTGACCTCCTGTTGGTTGCACAGCAAGCTGGCTTTGGTTAAATGTTTCTCATTAGGAAGCACCTTTGTGACAGAACATTTTAACCTAGCAGTTAAAGTTCATTGCTCTGGAAGCATTGCAAGCCTAATTTAGTGCCATGTCAAAGATAACATACAAAGTGTAATGCACAAGAGCCTGAAGGTAGCAAATATGAAAATAAGGTGCAGAATTGGTCTGAGCAGTGAAGTGAACACTTGAACTTACTACCTGATCCTTGATTTGAAAAATTATGTTGTTTTACGAGTGTTTCTCCCAATTATAGTAGAATTGCTTCAAATGTTTGGTAGTAGACTTGAAGGAGATGGAGATGGAAAAACATATAGGAAACTATTTAGGAAAAACTATAAATAATTGTGGATGATAACTAGAATTAGTTTTTTCTCTATAGAAATAACACATAAATACATAATGATCCAAAATGAAATAGTGTAATGCCATCCCTATTTATTTACAACCTTAAATACATTTATTGTAACTTTGATCCTTTAAAATATTTTTATGAATATATAATGAATGAAAAGTACCATTGCTCTAGCCATCCTAGCACTCGTGGGTATTTTGTTTGCTAATCTGCACTGTTTCCAATGGCAATGTGACAGTGAGTCTTGTATGCAGTCTTTCATTCATTCCTTGCTATAGGGAGAAGCATGCATTGGAGTCTTGGTCTCTAACGTTATTTCAGAGCCAGTGAAAGAGTACTCATCCCATGCCTTTCAAAGGGCTGTGATCACAGTTGTTTTCATGGTCTCCTCTTACAATTGAGTTTGGATATTTTTGAAGGAAGGAGCTCTGTTTGTCTAAAAATACATGGTGGTAGGAGTGAGCCAGTTTTCTCATATGATTTCTGATTTTTAAAGGAAACCATGGAAACAATGGAAATAATGGAGCCACTGGCCATGAAGGGGCCAAAGGTGAGAAAGGAGACAAAGGTGACCTGGGACCTCGAGGGGAGCGGGGGCAGCATGGCCCCAAAGGAGAGAAGGGCTATCCAGGGGTGCCACCAGAACTGCAGGTAAGCCATCCTCTGCATATCTCCAGGCGACTTCTAACACTGTCTGAACATTAGGGACCAAAAAGGTTCCAGTAAACAAACCTTCACTCATCTTGGAGAAACCTCAGTTTCACTTTACTCATCTCCATGGTAGGATGTTTACATCAGGCCTGATCTCAAACACAAATTTGCAAACATTCTTAGGAAAGGGTATTTATCAAGTGTGAAATCCAACTCTCTCAGGAGCAAATAGTCATAAATATGAACTCATATCCTATTTCCCAGATGAGACAATGGGTTTTAGATAAGAGGGTTTTAACCAAGTGCACTGAAACGTTCAAACATATACACGAATGGCTAAGCATATAGTTTTTTTAATTTGCTAATTTGTGTTGCCTGCTTTTTAATCAATGCATGAAAAGACATTTCCCTAGGGTTAACAAAATTGAGAAGTTGTCAAATTGTCGTTTCTCTAATCATGTAATATATAAACATGCATCTAATATTACAGCCTGAGAACTCCATCAAAATTTTTCCAGTTTTACTTGATAACAGAATTTTAATATTTAAAAAGCATCTTTTAAGGACTACTATCTCTATGACATAAAACACATTAAATTACTATAATTTATTTACTAGTCTATTGTTTGCTATTTCTATTCAAACTTTCCATCACAAATAACATAATGTTGCAATAAAATTACCTATATGAGGATGTTTTTCTTTAAGACAAATTTGGACTGATCACCAGTTTTTTCCTTAGATTGCATTCATGGCTTCTCTAGCAACACACTTCAGCAATCAGAACAGTGGCATCATCTTCAGCAGTGTTGAGACCAACATCGGAAACTTCTTTGATGTCATGACTGGTAGATTTGGGGCCCCTGTATCAGGTGAGATGTAAACATCAAGGAACAAAGCCATTAAAAAGAGAAAGGAGGGAGAAGGGAGAGAAAGAAGAAAAGGAAGGGTTTCTCTGCAGGAAGAGTGTGGAAGTATTTGGAACTTCAGACTAGAAAAGCCCTTGAATGCTGTGAGCAGACCTTAGTGGAAGTTTCTGTTAGTAGTTTGGAAGGCCAGAATGCCCACAGGAATATAGACTGCACAGGGTGGTTAAAGGGGTTCTTAATCCAATATGGCCACCCATGGGAGTGTTTTTCCAGGGTCAGCCTCAAAGGCACATAAAGGCTTCTACAGCTGTGGTGCAAGGTGGGCCAACCTATATTTTGAGCTGACAGTAAAAGTTGGCAGCATTATTCTCATGGTATTGGTCTTATATTAATGGTATAAGAGTCACTGAGACATACAGTCTTTTGCAGTCTGGTACCAAGGGTCCAGAGAGCCTCTGAGGCTATCCAACATGTGCAGGGCCAGGGCCTCCACAAAGAGGACTTGAGAGGCTGCTTCATGAAGCTATGAAGGTAAAATTTAAGTTGCAATGGCTTCCCTAGAATGTTGGAGATGGTCGACTTTCAACAAAAGTTGCAGTTTTCCAGCAAGGAAAAGAGTGGATCTGCCCTAAGAGAGAAGCTATCTATGCTACAGGTGACTGAGTTGGAAGGGTGGGGCAGCCAAAGCCCGTCAGAGCCTGATAACTCTGCCACAGACCCCAGATCCCAGCCTGAGAGCTGTAGGGTTGGTGCTTGCCCTATTAGGTTTCGATTTTGCTCCCTTTACTCCCTTTTAGAATGGGAGTATTTACTCTGTGTCATTGTTAAGAAATATGCAACTTGGTTTTGACCTGTGTAGTGACTCATAGTTAAGGAAATTCCTTGATTCTAGAAGAGAATGCTTTGCACTTGTGATCACAGTTGGAGCTATTAAGAACATTGGAGACTTTAAAAATCGAAGTAAATGCATTTTCTATTATGAGACAGTCACGAGGCTGTGGAGGCCTGAGGCAGAAGGTGGAGAATGGACATGAAATGTCTTCTGGAAGGTCATGTTTCAACACTTGGTCCTCAGATGGTGGCACCGTTTGCAAGGTTGTGAAATCCTTAGGATGTAGAGTGCGGGTAGGGGAGGCTGGAGGATGTAGGTCACTAAGGGCAGGCCTTGAAATCTGAGTCTGGGCCCATGTCCCTTCTGTTCTCTGCTTTCTGGCTACAGCAGCCCTGTGTCATATGTCATGCTGGTGATGCCACACCTTCTCTGCCATGATAGATTTTATTTCTCTTACTATGAGGAATAATAATGAGTCAAAATTACTTTTTCTCCCCTTGAATTGCTTCTTTTCAGGTATTCTATCACACCTATTGGGAAAATAATTAATATAACCAGGATATCCCAATGTTCCAGCTTTTAATTCCTTCTTTTGTCTGGCTACTTCTACTAAGAGTTCTTAAATTCTGTTTTGAACAGCACCATTTGCTTTACTGGTGCATATTTCATGATATCATCCTTCATCTGGTATATAGCGACATGTCCTTTTGTACTAGTCATTGGATAATTCTTGCTGTTCTTTCTACTTTTAAGAAATAGCTGATGACTGAACTGGCTTCTCCTAGATCAGCTATTTGTAGGATACTGTTGGCAAAGGACCCAGGCAACCTTGAATGTGTGACATTTCAATGCCTCTTCTTGATGCCAGGGGACTGATTTTTTCTTTGTATTTATTATTCTCTCATATAATATATGCCAACTGCATTTTCCTTCCCTCCACTCCTCCACCATCCCCTTCTATTTCTTAGAAGATCCACCGTTCTTCTATTTCTTATCAGAAAAGAACTGGTCTCCCAGGGATACCAACAGAGCAGGGCATAACAAGGTTCTTAGGCAGGGCTCCTCTGTGTATTTATCCTGTGTGGCCACAGTTTCTCTGTCTCCCCACACTTCCTGAGAAAGACTTTGGAGCCAGCTTCCAGCAGCCTGTTATTGCTGCCAAATCCTTCCCCCTTAGGTCTGATCCCAGGACTGTCTTTCAGGACTTGAGAGCTGCCTTGCTCCACCAGGGAGTAATTTTTCCTGGCAGGGTTGAGATCTATTATCCCCTGCTCCTAGGAGCCCTGTCCAGTTTCCTGCTGCTTTAGGCAGCACCTTGACATACTTGAGGCATATCGACTTTCTTCAGTGTCCTAGTTCTGCATACATTTGACAGATTTTAAATTTCTGGTATTCAGTTTTCTGTCCTTGCTACCCTCCATGGCATATATAGTGGAAAATACTCTAATGAATGCAGTGACCATGTTAAACTTAACACATAAGCTTCTAGTGTTTAGCTTCGTTTATTTCACCCTGTTCAAATAAGAAATGACCAAAGAGACAATCTGTTTATCATGGTTCAGTCAATGTCATTTTTGTGATTTTTCTGCTCTGAGGGCTTTAAGTTTCCTGTAATAACTTTTGCAGATCGTAGTGTGTCACAGGTAAGTGCCTAATTATCTTGGGTCAATGGTACTGCTGAGTTCAATGACTCCATAATTAAATGATTTTTGAGCTCTCGGTTGGATACCATTTTGATGATAATAATTTGAATTCTTATACTATTTATTTTTTAATATAACCAGTGATTACAGACTGATGATTGTCTTTCCCACTTTTAAATGAAGAAAGCTGAGATTTGCAGGTACAACAACAGAAAGACCTGAAAACCAGAACACAAGCATGTGTCACTTCCCATTTCCTTGTAGAGAGAGCCCCATGTGCTCATGGTACAGGTTCAATTCTGCAATTCCAATTCTAAGAGTTTCATTATTTACCACCTGGTTTCTTAGTCTTCTCTTTCTAAAGTGTTTCTGCAATCTATTTTTATTTACAGTATCATTTTCAAAGGGAGAGTAAGGTATTTTCCTGTCATTTTGGTTTTAAATTTACTTTCTGGAGGCATCAAAAATTGTTATATGTGTATAAAATGAAATCCTGTAAAATGTAAAACACCAGACCATGTACAAACTATTTCTTGGAGTCCTTTAATTTTTATCTGTCTTTGCTTTTCCTCTATGAACCCATCTCTAGGTATTTGAATGGCTATAACTGACTGCCATCAAATATGCCTCCCCAACACTTAACAAAGCATGATTGTTCTGTGACTTGGCTCAACATCAGAGGGAACCTTATAGCTGATGTCTTCATAGAAAATAAATAGGTATTTGAAAAGAAGTATGAATGACCAATTATGTCTTAAGACTTTTCTTATAGATATTTCTGGGTTTTTCTCTTGTATAGTTAATAGTTCAAAAACCTTAACATGGAAATCAGTATGAATATACTTTTAGTAACAAGGTATTGTGACAGAGTTAAAGTTGAATGTTTTTATTTAAACATTACTTTATTGATTTACAGTGGGTCACATGAGAAATGACCAAAACACTTTCTTTAGAACTATGAAACATTTACCTATGCTCTGATATTTCATCATCTGGGCTACATCTGGGGAATGTAGTTGTCCATTTTAATTTCATGTTTGACTAATTTTATTAATGATTTTGTAATTTTACTAAATATAAGCAGGAAATATATTGAGTTAAAAATAATCAAAGTACTAGGCAGTGACAGTGCACACCTTTAATCCTAGTGCTTGGGAAGCAGAGACAGATGGATCTCAGTGAGACACAGGCCATTCTGGTCTAAAAGCGAGTTCCAGGACAGCCAGGACTGTTATATGGATAAACCCTGTCTTGAAAAAAACAATATAAAAAAATATCAAAGCATTTCTAAGGCAGGCAGATAAAAGAATATTCATATGAACAGGCCCTGAAACTATACAATACACAGAATACAACAAAGCCATGTGTAAAATCACTTGACTCATTGTTTGTGTATGAGTGAATGAGGAAATCCTTGTCCTTTCCAGGTGTGTATTTCTTCACCTTCAGCATGATGAAGCATGAAGATGTAGAGGAGGTGTATGTGTACCTTATGCACAACGGCAACACCGTCTTCAGCATGTACAGGTGCGTGATGTCTTCAGTCACAGATCTCCCTCGTGCTGGCATCACTTGAACAGAGCCAAGTCCAAACACAGGGAAGAGCTTAGGAGTTAATGGCTGAACATAGCAGTTTTGTTCTCCACTAGAATCCCGCTATTTGGTCAGGTTATTGCTCTTGTTTGGGGAGACCAGTAATGAACTTATAAGTAGATTAGAGACCGTGGGCAAATGACCAGCAGCACCCCTAATAGCTACCACTCAGGTCTTTCTTTAACTCATTATTTCCCTGTCTATTAGGTTTTTTTCTGCTTTCCTACTCCCCCTTTGCCTGAAACCTGGCACTGTGAGCAGTCTTCACAGCCTGCACTGGCTGACTGAGGAGGTTAGACTAGGTCCTTTTCTTCACACTGTGCCTTACTTCGACACTTATCACCTTGGCCCCGGAGCTCCCTGGGGCGAAACATTTTAGAAATTACTACATCATGCTCTGTTGTTAGGACAGGCAGAGAGCCAGCACCCTGTCTGTGAAAACTTTTTTGGCTCTGATTTTTCCTCTGTAAATTTTACCACTTGCCATGGTCAATGTGTTCTTCTAGAGTCTGGCCTCAGTAAGAACAGGAAGGAATGAATCAAAGCAGGTAACCCTGTTGTCAGAGATCCAGAACACAGTGGCTCAGACACACCAGAACCTTGAGCAATCTAGGGCAAGGGTTCCAGGATGGGGAAGTAGGGTGATAGGTAGAGTAGAAGAAAGCATTGTAAAGTAGTGGGGGATGAGGCTGCTACTCCTGTTTTATTTTTGATTTTATTTTCAGCAGGGATGCTGGCTGATGAAGCACCTTAGGCATTTATAAAGCTGACTCCTAGATTCTCACTGGTCATGGTCATTTCTGGAGTCAGAAGGCAGAAAGGACAAACTGTGAACATTTCAACTTGGCATTTTATTCAGTGAATTTAATCTCTCTGTTCCTAGCCTTACTTAACCAACCTGAGGGCAGCAAGGAACTAGTACAGTTCCCGTGTAGGAGGGCATTCACTACGTTTCCCATCTTTGTGACCGACTGTCACCAGCAAAGAGACAACTTAAGGGAAGGTTCATTGACAGGACTCAGCCCATCTCAGCAGGGATGACAGGAAAGAGTTCCATGTAGGAGCTGTGTGTGACGGGACTCCTCACACCTTGGTGGACCAGGAACAGGGAAAGCCAAGTAAGTGGATCTAGAGATAACAGGCACTCAAGGGAACACGTTACAATATAATTTCTCCAGCTACAGTCCACCTTTCAAGGATTCCACAACCTCCAAAAGCATTCTACTAGATAGGGGCCAATTGTTCAAACAAACGAGCTGATGGGGGATATTTCCTATCAAATTCTTAACAAGGAGAGAATGAATTCTGGTGAACAGCCTGCCCTCTCCAGGCCCCTGATTCTCAAACAACCATCCAGTTCATCCCCCTTCCATAGCACACACGTTTCTGTCTTGGTCATCATGGGAGAGAGCCCAAACCCAGAGCTTAGAGATGAACAGTCCTTTTAGAAGTCAGCCTTCAGCTGGTTTTCTCTTTGGCTTCTGATTCTGTCCTTTGAAGGGTCTTCTTTGTTTACTTTTCTTCATGGTCACATCAAAAGGGTAAACAGTTCTGTCTTAGGACTTTTTCATGTTCCATTTCCTGCTTGTGGAAATCTGAGAACTAAACTAAATATCCCAAGTCTTTCTAACCCAGCCTGAGTCTTTGGCAATGGTGCTCCATTTGCTCGAAATAAGTGACATGTTAGTGAATCATACTCAGTATACAAACAGCTAGCCTGTTTGTTACTCTTGTGACTCTTTGTTGCTTTGGCCTTTTCTAAATGCAGTCATTATTAATTTAAGACATTTAATAATAGATATGGTTAGAAAGGCAACTTTTCTCCATGAGATAAGTGGGGTGTGACTCCCCTGACTGAAAGTTCCTAATAGGAACTCATCAGCTCTGTCCTGGCTCTTCAGGTATAAAAGCACCTTTTTTGTTTGTTTTGTTTGCTTCTTTTTCAACCTTGGTAGAGTCCTGACTGTCTGTTCTCCAAAGTCATCTTTTTAGAGAAACATCTTTTAAAAGCTGCAAAGAGTATATGCCTCCTTTGAATCCTCTGTCTTAGGTGATTAGTGTGTATCAGGTTACCAGGTTTTCCCCAAATATCTTCCAAGCATACCATGATGTCTTAGTTACTGTTATATTGCTGTGAAGAGACACCGTCATGATCAGGGCAACTTATAAAACAATGCATTTAAGTGGGTGCTTGCTTACAGTTTCAGAGAAAGAGAGAGAGAGAGAGAGAGAGAGAGAGAGAGAGAGAGAGAGAGAGAGAGAGAGTGTGAGAGAGAGAGAGAGGAGAGAGAGAAAATATAAGACTGACTGGGCTTGGCATTGGATTTAGAACCTCAAAGAGAGCCCCCCAATGGCATACCTCTTCTAACAAAGCCACACCTCCTAACCCATCTGAACTAGTCCACCAACTGGAGAATAGGTATTCAAATACAAGAACCTATAGGAGTAATTCTCATTCCAATGAACACACATTAGTCTATCTTTTCAGCTCACAGTATTTATTTCTACATTGCTCCTGCCTAGCTGTTAGCAAGTATATTTTTTTATTTTGGTTGTTGACAGTACCTTCCTTGAATACCAAATTCTAGATTGGTGAGAAGAAAGTAAACCCTTGTAAAAATAGACTCTATGTAAAGGCTGAAAGATAGAGCTTTCCTTCTTCCTCATCTAACACTCTGGAAGTCTGGTAATATAATCCTGGGTATATGTTCCCAGTCTGAGTAGGGGTAAGAAAGCTCTTTTCTACATAGTAATGGTCAAGACTTCAGATATTTACAAATGGCTTTCAAGGCCATTTGATAGCCTAGAACCAAGTGAAAAGAAAGGAGATAAGTTTTAGAAGTGGTTCATGCTATTCCCACTTGCGTGCCATTTAGAGAACTTAACACATGACTATACCTAAAGCATAGGAGAAGGTAGGGACAGAATATGCTCAGGATCTGGGCTAGCATGGCAAATACTAAGTAGGGTGTCCCTCTCTTTTTTCCAGCTATGAAACAAAGGGGAAATCAGATACATCCAGCAACCATGCAGTGCTCAAGTTGGCCAAAGGGGATGAAGTCTGGCTCAGAATGGGCAATGGTGCCCTCCATGGGGACCACCAGCGCTTCTCCACCTTTGCAGGCTTCCTGCTCTTTGAAACTAAGTGACAGGAAGGATAGGATAGCTCCACATGGGGGGGGGGGAGACTTGTAGCTGAGCTATGCTTGTTATGATTGGAGTGATGTTGAATTGGGGGTTCTATATGGAGTGTTTAACTGTTGTACTGGTCACACTACTACTCGTCCTACTGTATACCAATAATGTTGGATGAATCAGAGGCTCAGAAGAATAGACCACAAGGTAACCTTCCCAGATGACCTTGGGAAATACTCTGCATCTTCATCACTCTTCCCTACATGTCTAAAGGAATTGCTACCTGATGCAATTCCTCAAAGAAAGCATATGCAAACAGTTTTGGTGCTGTTTAAATGTAGTGTCAGGTTTGGAGTCAACCAAGTTCTAGTTTATTTTTCTTCACAATATTTCAGAGAACAGCCTAATTATGATGGGGCTAGGGCAAGAATAAGGACACTTAACAGAACTTATCTAGAGAAATACTTGTAAAGTCTAGAGGGGGAAATAGCATTTGGTTTAGTGTGTTTGTGTTCTTATGTTAATGAATAAATTACAAGAAAGTTTAAGTAATTTCAGATAATTTTGAAATAGTGAAATTATTTGCAATGCCCACAAATAATTTTTGACTCCTCTTTAAAAGCATAAACAGACATGTAAGTTAATACTGAGTTCTAATGGCTTAGATTTTCAGATTTAAATTTTCTCACAATCCAGAACTGGGTTTGTCACATCTGGCTTGCCAGATCTTCTCTTTGCCATTGCATCACTTGGACTGTAGTAGGGCTCTCTTGACTCTGCACAACTACCTGAGATAAGATGTTTAAGCTGATATAGTACAGATACACTTTTTAAATTTGAGAACTATCCCAAAACGTTTATATTTTATATATACCATGTTATGCTGAAGGACTTGTGAACATAATTATATACAGGCAGACTAATGGATGCAAAATATAAGTGTATTCCATTCAAGAAACCCACAATAATACATCTTAAAGGTTTACAATGAAAGTAATATTGTTTTTTATTATTATCATACTTGACAAACACCCACAAAGCAGTTTTAATATGCCACAGGGTTATAGAAGGTGCTAGTTTGTTTTTGCCTAGCTTCCTCCACTCCATAATCTATTAAAAATGATTAAATTTGTCATCAAAACACCTTTATAGCATGTGCCATAAGCTGGCACTCACAGAAAGTACCACATATGCCAAAATATGCATACATATATACATACATATATACATGTGTGTGTGTGTATTGTTGAGGCTCAAGCCCAAGTCTTGTACAGCTAGATATGTGCTCTTCTGATGAGATACATCCTCAGTACCCAGGTTTGTTTCATTAAAGAAAAGTATCACTGCAATGTGTTTACTCTATGTTAAATCATTTTTAAAATGCACCAGTGAGATTCTTATCTGAAAAATATCATACAATCAATTCTCTTTAAAGTAATGAGCCCTTAGTTTTTTTGTGATCACATTTGTTTTTTAATTGTTCTTAATAAGTATAATTTCATACAATTGCAAGTCATGTGGTTAATATAAAGTAAAACATTTTCCTGGCAGTGTTAACATACAACTCTGTGATGTTCAAACAGACAGGATCACCTGTCTGCACAAGACTCTACCTCCAGTTAATGCATGGCTTCAACCCTTTAAAACTTCGGTGGTTAGCAGTTCCCTTTTAAGATCCAGGTCTTTCTGAGTGGATGGTTCTTCATCACACACCTGCAATCTTTTTATGCTCATGCTAACATTCTAATTTTCATTCTAGCTGAACTGCACATGAATTTGGTTGTGGGAGGATGAAATTACCTCATCTGCAAATGAGTAGCAGTGGGTGATTCATGGGAGAGCTGGAAGATCAAAATAATTATCAATGGTTCTATAGTATTTTTACTCATGGCCCAATTACACAGTAGTCACTTATCTGAGATGATGTCTTCTGCAGTTTCAAATACATGCAGTCAACTGAGATTATAATGAGATTTGAATTGTATGTCATTCTGTAGAATCTTGGGATCTGGTGCTACAGGATATGAACCTTTGCTCTTCATATCCACACTGTGTATACTACAGCCTGTTAGTCAATTAGTGCCTGTCTTGGTTATCTTTTCACATTGTAACACTTGTGTTTAAGTAACACCTATTTTGCTCAATCATGGCAATACAAAGCGGTGATACTGACAATGTGGACATGCCAAGGAGAAGCTGTGAAGGCCCCTAAAGTGAAAAGATGAAAGCTCTGTGTTTAAAAAGGAAGAAGAAAACGGAATCATCCAATGAGGCTGCTGAAACTACACTAACATCTATCTGTGGGATGTCGAGGGAAGGAAAAGTTGGTACCAGTTTGGCCGTTCTACTTCAAACCCCATAAGTTAAAGCAACAGCCCATGAGAAGTGACTGAGTTCAATGAAAAAAAGAAATCTTACATTTTGCATGTATTTATAAGAAAAATTATACACACATGTAAGGTGTACGGTTTTTCCACCTGCCGCCGCTGGTCTTGTCCCGCCGCGCCAGCCCCAATTAACACACAGAGACTCTGTATTAGATATTATACTGTTGGCCAGTTACTACTTTCTTATCGGCTAGCTCTGTCTTAAGTATTAACCCATTTGTGTTAATCTATGTATTTCCACGTGGTCTTCTTACCGGGAGCCGGCTGCTGCATACTGCTCTCTCCAGACTCTCCATCTTGGCTCGTCCTTACAATTTCCTATTTCCTCCTTGTCTCCTAGTCCCTCCTATCTTCCTTTCCTATTGGCCAACAGTGCTTTATTCATTAACCAGTATGAGAAACATATATATACATAATGGCCTACTTAGTGTTTGGAGGAAGGAGAGTATCCACTAACCTAGTAAGTGTTTTGGAAGAAAAAAATTGACCTAAGCTTAGGCAAAACTGCAGCAAGAAAAACTTCATAAGCACATATATGGAAGCAAATACACACACACACAAACACTTCTAAGATTTGTTCTAATGTATGGAGAACATTCTCAGACACTATTTGGATCACTTCAAATAGTAAAAAAAAGAATAAGGGAGTACATCATGAAAAAGAGTTGAAGTCTAAATAAAAAAGTCATTCTGGATTGTATAAGTATTTAATAACAGTTAAAGTTACAAATGCTTTGGCAACTTGACAAGATCCTGAATCAATTGAGAAAGTAAACAGGACTGTAAATACATCTGGGTGGTGAAGTAAGGTTTTTCCAGCATATACAAGGCACCAGGCTCAATCCCATTACCACAAAAAAAAAAAAAAAAAAAAAAAGTGTGTGTGTGTGTGGGGGGGGGTCAAACCAAAGTAAATGTGTATTCCAATGAGAATGTCAATCCCAAAGGACGTAGTTAGAGTTGGTAAACATCTACCCAGTGCAAGATACAGTGCTATTCAACCATTCCATTTTTTGCCTTTTCTGAGTTTTCAATGAGGGATAGTAGATTAAAGGTGTGTGCACAGTGTGAAGCAGGAGCCACAGATGGCAAAAGACCAGCTCCTTTTTGTGTATATTTATAGCTCTATTGTTGTCTTGTGGTTTGGGGTACTAAGACCAACACCTTAAGCATGAGCATTCTATGGCTAACCTACAACCCTAGACTTACAACTTTATTTTCAAACATAGTAGTAAAACACACCGTTTGACATGTTTTCACATATTTTCCTATCTCGACCCAACAGAGACCTCCCAATCACTACTAATAATCACTTGGGAATATAAAATTCTAGGAACTAGAGCACAGATACATCTGCCTGGAAGTATTTTAAAACTCAGTAGTCAGTTAAAAGAGTTTTGGCTACAATTACGTAGCATTTCAGCTTTGCTTTTCTTATCTGCCTCACTTGTTTCTTAGTACCAGAGGGCTGGAGAGATGGCTGGACGCATAACCAAAAGTATAAGAACTGGTGCCAGAATTTTCTAGAATCCACGTCTAGCTCTGTTTGGTTTCCTAGAGCTTTCAAAAACTGCATCTAGCCACCTACACACAGGCTCCACCTGCTAGTGAGAAAACTACCGGTAAAATGTGGGTGGGGTGTTTGTTTTGCACTTTCTTAAAGATTGAAAAAGAGTTTCTAAGTCAAAATTGTAACTATTCATAAAACTGACAGCTGACAAACCAAAACCATTTTTAAAGCTCTCTCATTCAACCCTGTATGAACAATACTTTTCATAGCCCAGACTCTTCCTCTAAATGCTGGGATTACAGGAGCCCACACCAGGGGCATTTTAAGTGGCACTGGCCTTCATGCATGCTAGGCATGCACTCTACCAACCAAGGGACACCCCCAGCCCTTCCCTTTAAAACTAAGGCATCTAGGAGGGGTTTCAAACAAGTTTTCAGGACAACGAGGAGGACACCCTGTGGCCTACCGAAGGAAATGTCCCTGCCTCCTTAAGATGTTCGAACTAGCACAGTGCTTAAAATACCTTTAAGTCACTTACTGAGGGACGGGAGCAGGGTGGCACAATGAAAGCATCCGGAGAGGACACTCATCACTGGCTGGAGTTTTCAAGGTCAAGGACTTAAACATTAATTTAGACTAGAACCAAGTATAGCAGCTAATCAGCCTTTGGCCTGGGACTACCGCGGGTAGGCGGGAACTGCGCAAGCGCGCGCAGCCTCCCGGGCGCTCCCGCGCAGGCGCGTGAGGGAGGCGGGTGCGGTGGCAGATGGACTATGGTACAGGGTCCGCTGCCAGTCGGCTTTCGCCCCAGGACTGGCCATGGTGTTGCGTGGCATCAGGGTGTTGGAGCTGGCGGGCCTGGCCCCGGGGCCGTTCTGCGGGATGGTCCTGGCCGACTTCGGGGCTCAGGTGGTGCGTGTCGACCGGCCGGGCTCCGCGGGCGACGTGAGCCTCCTGGCCCGGGGCAAGCGCTCGCTGGTGCTGGACCTGAAGCGGCCGCGTGGAGCCGCGGCGCTGCGGCGCATTTGCGCACGCGTGGACGTGCTGCTGGAGCCCTTCCGCTGCGGTGAGCCGCGCCGCGTGATCGCCCCCCCCCCCACCGGCGTCCTTAAGCTTTTAATTTGCTTGAGCCCCACCCCCACCCAAGCACTCTTCCACATTTGCCTTTATTATTAGGTGTATTAGGCCGTATGAGAATCTAGTGCAAGAGATAGATTGGAAGACTTCACACTGGAATATAGCCACTGACCCTTCGATATGTTGGTATGCCTATGCTCTAAAGCTATCCACAGACCATGCTAACCTTTCCCTAAATGATGGTACCCCAAGGTCCAGCCTAATGAGCAAAGATCCTATTTTCATGTTCTATACCAGACACCGTTTTCGTCCATCTGGCTGTCGGTAGGCATTTGTAACTGTCACCCTGAATCAAGTCTTTTTCCATCTATTTAAAAATGCCCAGAGCATTCCATGGGTCAGTGTTTTCATCAATCATTGATTTAGCCACTCTTGCTCCTTTCTAACATTACCTGGTAGATACCAGGAAGTTTGGCAATGAATGGAATGAGAATGGGGTACCAGGCATCTTTATGTGTAGCTTTTGGTCCTCACAGGCAAATGTGAGGACAGTAATGGTAACATTTAGGATTATATCCTAACGTTAAAATGCCCCGTTTGAAGGTGAGGGTGGTTCAATGTGGTTAAGTAGTTTCTCCAAATGACTTTCGCCAAAATCACAACAAATAGTGTTAGTGTTACTTGCAAGAATGCACTTTTAGTTTTCTCAGTAGAAGTAATTATCCCCATCTTCAACTTGTGCTCTCTTTAAAAACAAAAAAGAAACAACAAACAGTTGATGACTTTTCTCTTAAGGTGTCATGGAAAAACTCCAGCTTGGGCCAGAAACTCTACTGAAGGACAATCCAAAGCTTGTCTATGCCAGGCTGAGTGGATTCGGCCAGTCGGGAAGTTTCTCCAAGGCAGCTGGCCATGACATCAACTATGTGGCTTTGTCAGGTATGTCGGAAATACTTTTCTAAAACATTTTGAATTGGCTCCAACATCAGAAAGTGCAGTTAGGTAGATTGACAAGGGTTTAAAAAAATTTGTTGTTTTTTCATTATGTGTGTGTGTGTGGGTATATGAATGTGAGTGCACATGCCTCTAGAGAGTCCTAGGTCACTGGGAAGTAGAGTCATAGGTATTTGTTGTGAATCCTTCTGTGTGGGTACTGGGAACTGAACTTGGGTCGTCTGCAAGAGCAGTCCACACAGTGAATGACTGAGCCATCCCTCCAGCCCCCAGCCCTGGTTAACAAAAAGTTTAAAGTATAAAGATGAACATTTTCATTGGAACTGGCTGATGAAAGCAGATTGATTTAAGTCCCTAGAACTGCCATTGTTAAGCTCTGCCTGTCCCCCTCCCTCAACTCATTTGATGGGTAGTAATCACTAGTAACACCTGGAAGATCAGTTTTCAGGAAGGCCCCTACTAGGGGCGAGGAATAAGGTAATAAAATGGGCGATCACGCCACATGTTGGGAAAGTGGATTCTGTTTGATCCTGATGTTCTCTTACCAAGATCTTTTTGAGCCATCACCTCAGACTTGTGTGAACACTGTAAAAGCTCACAGTTTTCAGGTCTCGCCATCAGTCTGATGGAATCTGTGCCTGTGAGAACATGTTTTAGAATGGCCTGACTGTATGATGCCTGAGAACTGTGTGTTACTGATGAAAACAAATCTACTTTCTGTGAGAAGGTATTCAAAGGTTAAGGAGTGAGTGAGTATAAAACTGGCTTTTCATTTCTTTTCAAAACTTACTTCCTGTTCCATTTGTGTGTGATTATTTTCCTACATCTGTTTTTTATAAAAAATGAAAGTGTATTATACTGCCTTAAAGCCAGGAACTAATTTGACAGTAATTACTTTTTCTCTAAGACTTAGTAAAGTGAAAACTTTAATAAAATATTTAAAATTTAAATGGGATGATTTGTTTAAAATCTTGTTTATTTTTCCGGGAGAATTCACAGTATAGCCCAGGGCTAGAAATCTACACCTGCTTGCCTCAAATCTACTGATGCTGGGATTACAGGTCTGTGCCACTGCACCTGGCTTTGGGAAAATTTAGTAGAGAGCAAAAATTAAACCAAATGGAACCTATCTTGGGGGAGAGCTTGTTTGTAGGTAGACTAAATGGGATCACAGTTTGAGGAGCACCGTGTCCCATTTTCACTTAGGTCAGTGACTATAAAAATTGGTTTTCTCTGTAAGGTGCTCATGTGTTTATTTAAAAGGGGCATTCAATTTGTTGTCCACGGTGCAGGTGTTCTGTCAAAGATTGGCGCAAGTGGCGAGAACCCGTACCCCCCGCTGAATCTCCTGGCTGACTTTGGTGGTGGTGGCCTAATGTGCACTTTAGGCATTGTGCTTGCTCTCTTTGAACGTACCCGTTCTGGCCAAGGTCAGGTCATTGATGCGAACATGGTGAGTATTAATTGGATGGTGGGGTGGGGCTGGTAGGGCTGCCTTATGATGTGTGATTGCCTCCAAGCTTTCTGAATAAGACAAGAAATGCATAAGGCTTAATATTTGAATTCAAATCACCAAAGAGTTTTGTTCCTTTGTTTTGTTGCTTTGAGACAGGGTCTCTCTATGTAGCCCTGGCTGTTCTGGAACTCATGGAGATCCACCTACCTCTGTCTCCTCTATGCAGAATTAAAGATGTGTGCCATCATGCCTGACAAAATCTTTTGTTTTTAAAAAATGGTCTCACCCTTTGTATGTATTAGAATGCCATATTGAAACTACTTGTGGAGTCAGTGCTTTAAACCTTATTCATTTATTTTGTGTGAGTGTGTAACAGTGCATCTGGAGGTCAGACGGCAACATGTGAGAGTCAGTACCCTCCTTCATGAAGCTGTGAGGATTAAACTCAGGTTGTCAGACATATGCCATGTCTATCTCCCAGTATGCTGTCACCTTTTAAAAACTCACCTGATTTCTGTGTTATATTTCAACATTTTCCTCCATGTTATCTTTTGTGATTAAAATAGAGTTGCCAAGTAATCAGCCTTCAAAACTGAGCTTCAGAAGTGGTCCCCAGCCTGTGGAGCCAGTCCTTAGAGTTGCTAAGGATGATGGGCCTTCCAGTTTAGACCTCCGGCTGCATTTCCTAGGAGATGCTTCAATTTCATGTTTCCCTGTGTTCACTGTCATATATGAGCACCCACCTCCTCCTCTGGGGCCTTTTCTCCATGATTTCTATCTTCAGTATAGATGAGTGCACAATTTCCCCATCTTCTGCTGGGGTATGTTTCATGTTTTCCATTAGGTGTATGAAACTGAAGGTATTCTAAACTTCATATTACTACATTTCCTCCAGATATACCTACATATAAATTAGACACAGTAAGAGATTAACACAGTACTAAAAATAGTACGGTACAAAATACATATGAATAAAGCCCTTACTTATGGATTTTTCTAGGTGATATTTTCATGGTTAATTTAAATATGGCAATTGAAAATGAAAGTCCATATAAGGGAGAGAATTATACATTGTCAGGATACCTGGGCACTAATCTGAGATCAGAGAGCTCTTCAGAAAGGGTTTAGTACGGGGCTGACAGGTCTTTGAAGGTCAAATAGAGAATGGATTTGACAAACAAGACTGGAAGTAGAGAGACCAGTTAACTGGGATTTGCTGAGCAAATACTAAAGCAATTAATGTTAGACTGGGACTGGATTAAAGGAATACTAAATGTAAACGTGTGTGTGTGTGTGTGTGTGTGTGTGTGTGTGTGTGTGTTGTTGTTGTTGTTGTTGTTGATGATGATGATGACTTGGCAATGTGCGAAGAAGAAGGAACTGGTGATGGACCAGATTTTGGTTTGTGTGACCTAGAGGACAGCTCTGGCTCCCAGGGGAAGACCGATGATGGAACAAACAGCACGATGCAGTGGCTGACTTCTTTCCTCCTAGCTCTGCAATTTCCTAGCTCTTGTCATCTTGGAGGGTCACTTTACAACCATGTCCAAGTTGTAAAATGAATAAAATGTCAACTTGTCAGAATGGTTAGGGAGTTGTTTCATCGTTGTGTGGTGTGTCAACAGTGCCCCGATTTGAGTTGAGTCTCTAAGGATTTGTGATTATGAGTCCTTTTATTTTTTTCCTAGAGGAAAATGAATTTAGTTTTGTTCAAGTTTGAAGTAGCTTTTCCATATCCAAGGTGAACACTTAAGTAGGGACCAGTAACAGATTTTACAGTCATTTGGGAATAAACTAGGAGCCAGATAAGATTCTGTGGTCCCCTGGGAAGGACACAGAATGCTAATGTGTAGGGAATGGGTAGGCAGGAGAGGACAGGCAAGGGTGGAGGAACAATAAGCCTATAAGAAGGGAGTGTTACCATGGAAACCAAGAGAAGACTACCCCAGTTTGCAGAAATAGCATAGAAATTGTATGGTTAGGTGTAATTGTCATGCCCTGTAGAATAGGCAGCTACATAAACATTAAACAACCTAGATAACCCCTCCTTTGTACTTCCTTAAGCCCAGGTATCCGTAAAGTCTCCTGCCTCTTCACAGGTGGAAGGAACGGCATACTTAAGTTCTTTCCTGTGGAAGACTCAGCACATGGGGCTGTGGGATCAGCCTCGAGGACAAAACCTGTTAGATGGAGGGTCACCTTTCTATACAACCTACAAGACAGCAGACGGGGAGTTCATGGCTGTTGGCGCAATAGAACCCCAGTTCTATAAGCTGCTGGTTGAAGGTAAGTAACCAGCTCTGAGTGTCTTGTTCCCTCTTTACTGTGAGCTCTTTAATCTCAACTTTGAGACCTTTTGAATTCCACGATGTCCATTTTTTTTTGGTTCAACTTTCTAGTTAGTGTATCCACATCAACATATTGTGGGAATTTCCTGTCTTTTAAACTGACAGATAATTTTATTGTTCTATAGAATAACTCAGGACTTCTGAAGCTATAACAGTAGGTTTAGAGGGAAAGCCGATACTTCAGTTGCTCATGACACTGGATGGTATGTTCATTCTCTTGGCTCCTGTTCCGTGATGGACATCTCTTATGGAACTAAGGTGTAGGCAAGTCACCTGAGTGCAGTTCAGCTAGACAATGCTACTGTCACTTGATACCTTGGAAGTTTATTGTTATTGTGATTCTTGTCTGCATGGCATGCTACCACTAGTTAGAGGGAATTTGGGATTGCTTCTTCCTTTGTGAAATAATTGTACTGGGATTATTCTGTTATGTGAAATGTTTCAGTTTTAAGTTCTAACAGCTAATTAAGTAGTTTTAGATATACTCTAGAGTAAAGCTGGCTGTGGTGGCAGATGCCTGTTATCCCAGCAACTCAGGAAGTAGAGACAGACAGTGGGATCTTCATGTGAAGGGGTAAATTACTCCATAGGTAAAGGCACGTGGAAGCTAGAGGTTGATTTTCAGCATCGTCTTCATTTGCACTCCACTGTAGGGTTTTTTTTTCTTACTTAAAAGTTATTTTACTATTTCAAAGTTTTTCTGCAGCACATTTTTATCTGATCACATTCTTTTCCCTCTCTCAAGTCTTCCCAGTTTCTCCCTACCTCCCTTCCCACCAACTTTATGTTCTTTTTGTTTCAAAAACAAACAAACCAAAACTAACAAAAACCAACACACACACACCACACACCATTTATTTTGTGTTGGACAACTACCCTTCCGGACATGGGACCTTGCCCTGTAGTAGTGTACTTGATACACCCAGTGTTACTTAATTGGAGAAACCTGATTTTCCATCTCCCAGCAGGTATCAATCACATATTTGCCTTTTTGGTTAAGGGTGGGATTTGTGTTTCCTGGGATTTTTTTTCAGGCTCTAATTTGTGCAGGTCTTACGCATGTTGTCACATGCCATCACCCAGTTGCATCTGAAAGATGCTGTTTCCCTGGAGACTACAGTCCCGTCTGGCTCTTACAATCTTTCTGCCTCATCTTTATCATAGATCCCTGAGTCGAGAGGGGAGAAATTTGATAAAGACATCCCATGTAGGACTGAGAGGCAGTAAGAACTCTGTGTATACATTGTCTGGTTGTGGGTCTTGGTGTTAATCACCATCTACTGCAAGAGGGTATTTCTCTAAGGAGGGTCGAGTGATTAACCCCACAGTACCATGTGTTGAGTTTTTCAGGGAAAAGGACTTAAATATGCTGTTCTTCCAACCTTTGAAGAACAACACTGTATGGATAGGTCCTCATCCTTTAGAAGTGGAGTCAGTGTCTATTTGGAGATTTTTCAGTTGTGTAAAAAGCTGGTTTAATACAATTACTTTCCCATTTTAGGGTTTCATTGTTTGGTAGCTTTCTAAATGTGGTATACTACTACAAAGTATTTGTATATACCTGCCATGATTGCTTTTACAAACATCCCCGCATTTTGTGATCACATGTGTTATCTAACTAACTCAAATATAGTTGATAAAACTGTAGAACAGGATGATTTGTATAGCTCTTGTAAGATTCCTCTATGCCCAGAAATTGAAGCTGTATTTAAAGACTTAAGGATTCTGGACTGAACATTGCTAGATGAAGGGGCAGCGGTTGGTGCAGAATGTCTTGGTCACAGAGCCCTGGGAAGCAGCAGAGATACAGCATGGTGGCCTTCACATCACATAACAGCCATGTGTATATATCTATCATCAACAGAAAAACGTATTTATATAGCTAAGTAAATTTTAGTTTGTTGTTTCTTGTCAGCGTTCACATTTCAAAGTGAAGATACTTTCCTTGAAAAAGCTTATAGCCTGAATTCTTCAACAACTACAGCTTCCTTGAGCTCTAGTAACTTCACTGAAAGCCATCTTAGTACATTTCCCCCATCTCCTGGTAAACACTACACAGAAATTAGTACAAGAAACCCCAATTATTTAGTTGCATCCCAATGGTTTCTTCTGAAGGCTGTGTTGGTGATAGTTCTCACATTTCACCTTTGTGCATTTTGAATTAATATCTGTGTACAGAGTGAGTTAGGATTTAACTCCCCCCCCCCATTGGGATCTCTGGTTTTCAAAGTGTCATTAATGGAAAAGACAGTTCTTCCTGCATAGTATAATATTTGCATCCTTTTTGAAGTCAGTTGACCATACATGTAAGGGTTTGTTTCTCTTTTGTTTTTCCCTTTTGACAGTACTAGAGGTTGAGTGTAGGTCTTCCCACATGGTAGAAGAGTACTCTACCACTGAGCTATAGCCTTAGCTTTAATTTTGGATTCTTCAATTCTGTTGTATTGTCTGTCTTTATGTCACTGTGTATTGGTTATTGTTGTAAGTTCAAAACTGGGAAGTGTGTGTTCTTTAGCACTGTCTCAGCTGTTAGAATTTCTGTGTAAATCTTACAATCAGTTTGTCAATTTCAGCAAACAAGGTATCTTTGATTATTTTTTAAAAATGTGCTTGTGTGTATGATGTGTGTATGTGTATATTTGTTTGCCATAATTTGGGCATTGGCATACCATAGCAATTCTGAGGAGTTTAGATGACAGCCTTGGGGGCCAGTCCTTGCCTTACATCTTGCTGAGACAGGGCCTCTCTCATTGTTTGTTGCTGCACATTCCAGGCTGGCTGGCCTGTGAGCTTCTAGGGATTCTCTGGTCTCTGCCTCCATCTCATTGGAGCTCTGGGATTAGACACACATCACTACCCCCTGGCTTTATGTGGGTTCCAGGGATTTGAAGATTTGAAATCAGGCCCTCCTGCTTCTGTGGCAACACTACCATGGAGCCATCTCTCCAATCCTGATCTGGGGGACGTTGGCATCGTAGCCATTAGTAAGCTTCCCAGTCCATCTGCATGGCTACTTGCCTTGCTTTGTTTACATCTCTGATCCCAGTGCTGCTCTATAGTTTGAATTCCTCTTACACATGTGGATTAAGGTTTTCCATCACATTTTGGAACTCTTTAGGTATTTATTAAATAACTTCTACTGACCTTTCTCTCCTGTCTTTTCATGACTCCCTTAATGCATTTGTAAGTATATTTGATGGTGTCTCAGAAGGCTGCGAGGCACTGTTAATTTCTCTTTATTAATGTGCCATTCTGTTCTCAGATTAGATAACTGGATTCTCCACAGGTTTGTTTGTTTATAATGATTTTCATCAGCAAAATCTGTGTTCCTTTCTATGCGCAACCACTGACTCTGCCTAGTTAGCTTAGTGCTCAGCTGGAGAAACACTCTTTAATGTCTTGAGTCAGTGAATCTTTCATCCTTTTGGGAGACATTGTATGCCTCCTCATTTGTGCAGTGCCTCAAGACCGTGGCTGCCTTCAAGACCTTTCAGCTCTTAATTTGTCAAGGTAAAGAGAAAGAAATATTATTCATAAAGCCATAGCCCTGTGCCTCACCACTTTCCTGGAGGCTCCGTTCTTAACAGCAGTGATAGTTGTGTATAAGTTATAACATTTTATTTTTAAAGTGTTTGAGAGTATTACCTAAAGTGTGAGGTTACTTTAATTCAACAAGACAGATAATGCCATCCTGAAGAAATTTCTTTTTGGAAGCTAACTCAGGAAAAGAAATCAGTTTCTGGAAACGAGATCATTGAAAACAGCTTGACAATGACAAGCTGCTTTTGAGTTATATCACTGTGATGTCCCTGCCTTCTGCAGTCATTGGTTTCAGCTTCATTGTGGTCAATTTTTCTCTTGCCACTCATTTGAGAAACCCTGATTTAGGTTGTCATAGTGAACTCATCATTGATTATAGTTACTGCTCTCAAAGTGTAATAACTAAAGACTACATTTCCCTCTCAGGACTTGGACTCAAGTCTGATGAACTCCCCACCCAGATGAGCATAGCTGATTGGCCGGAAATGAAGAAGAAATTTGCAGATGTGTTTGCAAGGAAGACCAAGGCAGAGTGGTGCCGGATCTTTGATGGGACAGATGCATGTGTGACCCCAGTGCTGAGCATTGAGGAAGCCCTCCACCACAGTCACAACAGGGAACGGGCCTCATTTATCACTGATGAGGAGCAGCGTGCAAGCCCCCGTCCTGCACCTCAGCTGTCCAGAACCCCAGCCATCCCTTCTCTGAAAAGGCATGCTTTTGTAGGAGAGCACACTGAAGAGGTTCTTAAAGAATTTGGGTTCAGTCAAGAAGAGATCCATCAGCTGCGCTCAGAGAAAATTATTGAGAGTAGTAAGCCGAAGGCCAACCTCTGACTCTCACAGCTCAAGGGAAGCTGAAGGCTGCATTTACACAGGAGAATGACACCCACAATGATATGTGTGGAAGTGTAGATGAGCAGTAACGATGTGAACCAAGCATTCTAATCAAGACACAACCAAAGACTGATTACAGAGTAATGATTGCCTTCTGAAACCGCTTTTCAGAGCCTCTGATTGAGGAATATTTTTGTGTGTGCACTGATATTAACTTGTCACAGTCTTTCTGCCTTTCAGTTCACTTGATAACATGTATTCATTGATATTAAAGCCCATATATAAATACAGTGATGATATATTTTAAATAAAGTAATATAATTTTAATAAATAAAGCTTTTTTTCCTTGTCCTGGAAGTAAACAGTGTTTTTAAGATGTAAAAATGTTCTAGAAAGCCCTTTAATTACCACTTAAATAGCATTTTCTGATGCATTGAAATATTTGGGCACTACTGTTAATAACATTGACTACGCCTTTAAAAAGTTGAACCCTTTTCATTCCCTTTTTGTCTTTAAACTCAGATGTTAGCAAATAGTCTTGAAGTTTTATTCATAAAACCCTGTACTGAACTCTGGGCTGTGTGAGTAGCCTAGTGACCTGTTCTCCATCACCCAGTAGTTGACTGTCCTGTATCCAATGGAAGTCTGTTAAGCTCCTCCCACCAATGTCTGACTCTGTACTGATCCTGTCTTCATCTGGCCCAGAAGTCCTTCTGTTTATCCTCTGGAAAATCACAATGATAAGCATATTTAATTAAGCAAATAAGTCAGGAGTATTCCACAGGCAGCATGGAAAGCAACTGGTGCAAAGAAGACATCCTAATGCTAAGCATACTTCCTCTTTGTAAAACGTAAAGTTATCTGGAAAACTGATGATTTAGATGTAGGAATATGGTCAGAGAGGAGAAAGCATGAGGCTTGAGAAAGGTAGAAAGGAAGCAGGCAACTGCATATAGGAAAATCTAAGGAAAGGAATTATATTCTTGAACACATCCTTCAATATATATTTTCACTCTTGATAGTGCCATATTGAAAGTAATGAGATGCTGCAAATTGTAAGGACAAATCTCATGAAACAGGTGACTGGTGCATCCAGACCACATATCTGTGTCCATTCCTTCCTCCCAGATGCCTCTCAGGCTTCAGTAACAATGGCATTGCATCTTATCATTTACAAATTCTTCCCCTACATGAAGCCAGGTGCTCTCCACTTCAAGAAACACTATTTACAAAGGAGGGCATGCTTTGACTTACAACCCTGAGTCTGGAGGAATAAGGAATGTTAGGGTTGGCTGTATGGAGTCCCTCTGGCCTTATTTCTCTGCAATTTTCCATTCTCTAAGCTTTCTCACCTCTATTCATAGATCCCCATAGGCTGATTCTGGATCTACATATAGTGACATTCTTGAAGAGAATGTTTTAGGAAGTCTGAATTAACCTTGTCCTTTGTCTCAGGACTAAATGAAATTAGTGCCATCCTTATACCAATCCTTGGTAGAGACAGTGAGAGAATCCTTAGATAACACTACCCAGTTTATAGAGCTGTCATGACCTCCCTTCCCGACACACGTAGGTGTAGGGGACATGTGGGTTCCAGAATCTAACTCAAGTTTCATCAAGACGGAGAATGGATGTTGGGTAGACAAATGATAAGGGCTGTCAAAATATACAGCATGTCCGATGTTCTCCCGTAGTCCCAAAAGAGGCAAGAGAGCAGCTTTCCTCTTTTTTTTTTTTTTTTTTTCAGATTACAGAAATAGATACAAAAAGTCCTTAATCTTCTTAGTTTACTTCTTAATGTCCTAGAAACCTGTGTGGTACCCCTTCTTCAACAAACAAACTCTAACCATTCCAGCTCTAAGTAATTAAGTCCAAGGAACTTAAATATCATACCCTTATTATAGGTGAGTTACTTACTGGCAGGACACATGTTCCTGTTACTACATGGCTTCCCCTGTCCTAGAATCATGGTGACTGGGCAACCTGGAAACACAGCTTCAGGACAATGAAACGGAAGGGATTATAGTGCAATCTTACCTCGAAAGTTTTAACTAAATTTTGCTGCCGAAGTGTCAAATTTCACTGTTGACTTGATTTCAAAATTTAAATGTTCTGAAATAACACCAATAAGTTTCGTGCAATATTTGGGTGCCTTGACACACAATTTGAGAAACATCAAATTAGGATCTGCCTAGGGAGGTGTGTAGAAGAGGCATACCAAGAATTTAAACTTTTAAGATTCTGACTCCATACTTTGTTCTTAAACCATTTTTTCTTCTAAGATTGTTTTCCTACCAAGGATTTTTATTAGGGCCCAGTAAGGAAAATGTTACCCACTTGAAGTGTTTAAAACAGTATATTTATTTAGGGGATTATATTGGTGATAAAGAACAGAGATAGTGAGGCTGTCCAGATATGAGCAGGCTCAAGGAGCCAGGGTTACCCCTGGGACTTCAGATAAGCTATGAAGAGTTATGGACACCCAGCAGTCCATTGTAGCTGATAGAAGGTAGGTTCACAGCGGGCATGCAGTCAATGCCAAAAAATACCTCAGATGAAGAAACTGGAGCATATTTGTTTTCCCTTCCCTCCTGGCTTTTCACCAATGCTTGCTGTTGGCCAAATATACCTAGAAACCAGAGAACAAGGGAGCCTGGGAAACGTAGTCCCATAAGATCTAGGCAAAGCAGGCAGTGACTGGCACAAATCATAGACTGTATATAGATTTCATTCATTCAACTTGTATTTATTAGCAAGTATTTTGGGGCACCAAAGGGGTGCCAGGCTACATGCTGGGGATACATAAATCAACCTGATCTCTCCTGAAGATCAAGGCTAATCAAAGGATATAATTAAGGAAATAGCAAAGGGTACATAGCAAACACTGAACTATCTCATTTGAAAATGTACTTAGTGAAAGGAGAGAATGGTTCAGAGATTATGTGACAGTGATTTGGGTGAAGGGTGAGAGGCCGTCCCCATGCTGTTTTAAATCTAGTCAATTTGTCTTTTACACTGTATGTAGAAAATGTGAGTTCAAGGAATGTATGTAGAAAATGTGAGTTCAAGGAAAGGGAATATCCAGAAGGTTTATAGAAATTATTAGGTTATTCATATTTTTATTTAGTCTTCATAGAGGAGACTTTATGATTTGAAAACTATGGAAGCAATGTATGTGTACAGTTGTGTGTGTGTGAGAGAGAGAGGGGGGGGTCCTTAGAAAAAACACCAACATTCCAAGGAGCCAGAGGGCTCACAACAGCTAATCTCTGTCATGCTTCCAAGTGCCAACTCCCTCTTTGCTCCTCATCATAACTTGTGATCTTGGAGGCATGAAAGAATTCCAGCTCCTCCTCCAGCCTTCCCATCTCTGCTCAGACAGGCTCCATGTCAGATCCAGTTTGAAGCACAGACCGGAGGATCACGCAGGAAGGTTCTTCTCTCTGTGGTCATGAGTGGCAGCAATGGGCAGCCTGACATCCATACCTATCAACCACTATCGGAGGATTGCCCCTTTGGCTCTGTGGAGCAGCCCAAGAGATCCACGGGGAGACTCATCATGCACAGCATGGCCATGTTTGGCCGAGAATTTTGCTACGCAGTGGAGGCAGCTTATGTGACTCCAGCCCTGCTCAGCTTGGGCCTGCCCAATAGTTTGTACAGCATGGTTTGGCTCCTCAGCCCTACCTTGGGATTCCTGCTGCAACCTGTGGTGGGATCAATCAGTGATCACTGCAGATCCAGGTGGGGCCGCCGCAGACCCTACATCCTGACACTGGGCATCATGATGCTCTTGGGGATGGCCCTGTACCTCAATGGAGATGCTGTTGTATCAGGTGAGTGGAGTGCATGGCCTAATAGTTAACTTTTAGGGTAAAATGTCATCAGTATTTTTTTTAATGCCTGTCAGAAATGGACTACAATCAATGGTCTCTCCTAGCATGCAGTAGCAGTAAACTTCCTTCACCTTTGAATGACCCCTAAACCTGTGGTTGAGGAGACTTTGCTTCTAGAAACATCACAACATTGTCTTTTATTATCACAAGATTTTTTTTTAACTGGATTGAATTTTTATCCATTTTGCCAGTTTAAATATTCTTACCTTTGTTTTCTCCAGCTGAAGGATATTTTTGAGTATAGTATATCTCATGGAATAATTTGTTAAATTGTCCAGCTATTAGCATTTGTAACCAACCACCTGCTGTGTACAAATAAAGGTTTAATTCTGAGTAGATAACATTGCAACAAGGCACAGGCAGGACTGTCACCTCTAGAGATATCTTTGTATTGTGAATTCTGGAAAGCAAATTTGGTGTCCGAGCAATATTTCTAGCAACATGTCAACTACTAATTCCTAAGTAGTTGGGGCAGCACATAGTTAAAGAGGTCATGAAAAATCACACAATTTTAGACCATTTATGCCAGTAGAAGGAGTGGTTATGATGCAAGATAAGCAGGTAATATTTGTATATATTTAGAACAGTGGTTCCCAACCTTCCTAACTCTGTGATCCTTAAACACAGTTCCTCAAGTTGTGCTGAAACCCATCCATAAAATTGTTTTGTTGCTATTTTAATAACTGTAATTTTGCTACAGTAATAAATCATAATGTAAATGTCTGACATACATTATATCTGACATGTGACCCTCCTAAAGGGGTCTAGACCCACAAGTTGTGAACCACTGATTTAGAAGGATATATAAATATTGAAATGTAGGTTATAACTAGGAAATTTAATATAAGTACTGGAGGTAAGAAAGAGAGGGTGGATTTATTTTTCACTTACGTTTATCCTGGAATGTTTCACTATCTTTAGGTTAACAAAACGTAAGCAAGGGACACAACAGTGGCTTTGTTAACAAACAAGGATCTTGGGAAGAGTTGTTTGAGGATACTCCATGATCTCATTTGCCTGGGTTATTCAAAGTTGTGTATCAAGGGGCTATAGAGTTACAAATGGTCATGCTCACCCCCTTACACCTGCCAAGCCAGAGTCTTGGGAAATGGGGTCAGCAATCTGTTTTGACAAAGTGGTTCAGATGGCAGTAGGGCACTCCAGAGTTTGAGAAGCCCTGTGTTTGGGCACCTGTGTGTAACTGTGGGTCTACATATACTAAAAGGGGGGGAGGGGCTCACAGAGTGGTCATAGCTGAAGCTAGGATTTAAAGGAATTTCTTCATCTTATTTTACATTGTTATTATTTCTAATAGAAAGAGATGTCATTAAAATCCCAGGGTATTCAGATAAAATATATAACCCAGTGTTTTTAAGACTAATCACCAGATGAAGCAACCATCACCATGGTGGACTTATGGGATATTTTCATGCCCCTCACCAAAGAAACCCATTCCCCACAAGAAGTCACTCTCTGTTTTCTCCTAGGCAATCACTAATTTACTTTCTGTCTATAGATTTTGGACATTCAGTTACATACTTTCTTACTCATACCATTTCTTAAGATGTACAAATAAAACTACATAACCAAAAAGGGATGATTTGAAGGCAGGTTAAGTGAAATAAAAATATGTGGGTTTTTCTAAAGATGCTTTAGAGGATCAATGTTTATTTGTGTTTTAGCTTTGGTGGCAAACCCAAGGAGAAAGATGGTGTGGGCTGTAACTATCACCATGATTGGTGTGGTTCTCTTCGATTTTTCTGCTGACTTCATTGATGGGCCTATCAAAGCCTACTTGTTTGATGTCTGCTCCCACCAGGACAAGGAGAAGGGCCTCCACTACCATGCCCTCTTCACAGGTAAGGACTATTCCAGAAAGTTTCTCCTTCAGCTTTGCAGCAGGGAAAAAATTTCCATGGAAGGCATCCAGGGTCCCTGCCCTTGGCATCTTGTGAATGAATGGATCAGTTGATAGGAAGCGCCTATCACATGCTCCACCCTGTCTCAGGGCATTTCTCTGAACAAAGTAAGCTCATGACCGGGGCTTCAGAGTTCTTGCAAAGGATGTTTACACAAGAGGTTTTCCTTAGAATGCTGTGGAAACACTGTACAACTGAAGTGAAAGGGATTCCTGTGCACTGAGCTCTCTCTTCAAAGCAGTGAGCCTCAGGCATTCATCAAGCTGCATCAGCCTTGCTTCAGGAGTTGAAAATGCCATCCTTTCTCCACTTAGGCTGATTCAGTGCATTTCAGATGCGGCCCAGGAATTTGTCTTTCATTTGATAAGGACACCAGGTGGTGTGCCAGGTGTCTTAAGAACTACATTTAAAACTATAGAATTGAGCAAGCAAATGAACAATCACCATCTTCCAAGAATTCTTAATTATACAAAGAAATCAACCTGCTCACTTTAAATGTTCATGTTAGGTGGGCATTGAGGGCTCTGTCCATTCCTAGGGGGCTGTTGCCAGCCACCCTTGATTGCCACAGGGCTGTTTTCTAAGCGGTGCTTGGTAGCACACTAGGCAGCCCTGAGCTAGTCACTGTTAGCATGCCAAGTGAAGGCAGGACACTGAGCCAGGGGGATTTCCACATCTAACAGGGGGATTCTGTCAAGCCACGGTACTATACTGTCTTCATAGTTAAGCCAAAAGCACGTATGGTTCCTTCCCTGGCCATGTAGGGCCCTACCTCCAGAGCCAAGATTCGTTACTGCACGTGGAAGCTATAGAATCTGGTTTTGTCATTTTGGCGAATATTTGAGTAGTGAAACTCTGAAGGGATGAGGCTGCCCCAGTACAGCAGGCTGTGCCTCACCTTGGGGAAGATGCAAAGTCAGAGGGACAGTCCTGAGTGTCTGTGGCCTCAGACCTCCATGTCTCTGGAGGTATAAAAGCTGCTGAACAAAGCCAGGCTTTGAGAAAACTCCTGCCTCCCTTTCCTTTGCTCTTACTGCTCAGCAATGTCATTCTCTCACCTGGACACCTTGTCCATCGAATTTTTGCCTTTGTTGTTAAGAGCAACAAGCACTCTTGACTAAGTCATCTCTTCATCCTCCCCCACAACCCACAGTTTTCACTCCGCACCTCGAGCTTTATTTCCCATTAATCGATCCAAATTCTCTGTGCTCTGGGGGACTCTCTATGTGTTTCCAGCACACTCATCAAGTCCATTCATTCATTCACTCTTCCCTTGGCTCTTTGGCCATCAACAGTCACATTTGCAGAGGCTCAAAATCCATACTAACCAGAGGCAAGACGGAGTCTGCCTTTTCTTTCTTCGCTTTTTTAAATTTTAATGATACTTTTATTTATTCTTTGAGAATTTCAAACAATATATTTTGATCATACTCATTTCCCTCCCCCAACTCCTCCCAGACCCTCTCCTTTTTCTTCTCTGGGTTCCAGGTCTTAGTTCCAGGTGAACTCCAGGCTTAAGGTCTTGGCTCCCTTTAGAAATCAAAAATACTGTGAAATTCCCACCCCTTGTTAAAGAGACGAGCCCTTACACTTTTCTAAATTGCAATTGGAGTTAATTTCTAACTTGGTTTTCAATCCACAAAATAAAGTGTGAAAGTTCATTGAGTGGGTGAATGAAGAGGCAGGGAGTCTGCTGGGTGGCTTTCTTCAGCAGGAGAGATGGGCTGCACTCCACTGTTCACTCACACACCCTGCAGTGTACCACCCCAGGGGCTTCTCTGGTCAGCCTGGACTGCTGTGCCCCCAAGACTGCTGCCTGGCTGGCATGAACAGCAGGAAGGAAATCCTCACAGTTACAGAGGATGGCAATCCAAGGGCATGTCGGTGGATGTGGGTTCTGGCAAAGCGTCTTCCTGGCTTGTAGACATCTGTCTTCTTGGGTCCTCACATGGCCTTGTTTCTGTTCACATGCCTCCCACCTCAGTCAGTCTCGATGCCCCCTGGGGTGTCTTCTTGTATAAAACAAAACCCTTTCTGTTAGACTAGGGTGACTCTCATTTAACCGTAAGCACCTCCTTAAAGACCCTGTCCAAACACAGTCACACCTGGGCTAGGACCTCAGCACATAAATTTGAGGACAAGTGCACACTAGCTTATAAAATGGCCATTGATCCCGAGCCCAGCCCCCTCTCTAGGAAAGGTGGTATATTGATTGAGCACATCCACATTTCTCCTCCTTTTTCACCTCCAGGCCCCTTCATTTGTCTTTTCAGCATTCTGGAGTATTCTGGAGTTATTCTAGGTTTTTTTTTTTTTTTTTTTTTTTTGAAAAACACAAGAGCACAAAAGTTCTTTATAAAAAGAGTATTTTTTAAAATGTTCTATTTTTGTTGGTTTGTTTGTTTGTGTTCTCATTCCAGTGGTTCTCGGGTCCTTCTGTGTAATGCCTCTTTTAAAGTCTCCTAAAATAACCTGCAGCCCCTGGTTGTGGTGGGAAGAGCAGTTGGTGACAAGGGACAGTTCGGCCCACCTGTGAGGAAACTATCTAAAAGTTCTCAATTTAAAAGATCAGTCTGCACTCAGGGGGCAATCTTCATATAATGGCTTTCTTGGCCTTTGCTATTGTTTTATCTCCTGCTTTAGAACATTTCTAACCACTTCGTTTCTACCCTACTTTTCACCAAAGAAGGAACTATCCTCAGAAAATGCGTGTGAGAAGGCCAGGAAGATGTGACAGAGAGTGATTGGTCAGCATTCCGTGTGTAAGAGTGAGCTAGTTACAATCCTACTTCATTAACACCCTGACCCTTCTGAGACCTCCTGGGGTAGGTGTTCAAGGGATGCATAGCTTAGGAAAAGGGTTGATCATAACAATGCTCACACAACAGTGGCTTAAACGCCTGTGTTGATTACCTTTCCCAAACAAGAAGTCTGTTGGCTTTTGGTCTGCAGTCCACAGCAACACCAGCTTCCCTTTTATTTGGTTGCTTTGCTAGTGTGCTGCCTCTTGGATACATGATGGTTGCTATAGTTTCTTTCATGTTTCTTTCAAGACAGGAGGGATGGAGAGGAGAGTCAGGGAAGAAACAAAGGGAGAGTCCCTTCACTTGAGGAAAGCAGGAGCTTTTAACTTCCCACAGACATTTATTTGTTCTCATTGAGCATAATTAGATCCTCTAATAGGCTCTTGAGGTTGAAAATCGAGGATTTGTTTAGCTTTTAATTTTTAGGGGTCAGGGACACATATTTACTTCCCTGGAGCAAATTGGGATCCATTACCAAGAGGGAGGGGGCATTTATTTTACTAAACTGAAGAAAGCCAATAGTTAAGAACTATAGACATAACTGTGCTCTGGCCTTAAAGGAACATCTGATTTCTTGGTTTTCCTTTGTTTTGTCTCATGGTAAACACCAAACTCTAGATGTCAATCAGTGTTTTCAGGGCCTGTGTTTGGTCCTATGGGAGATCACTGTGTGTGGATAGCTTCTAGCAAGTCCAACATTCCCCAACAGAAGAGCAAGATCAAGCCCCTCTTCTTCTAGGACAGTGCTCTAGGGTCCTACCTAATTTAGATCTTAGTTTCTAAGGACTCTGACTACTTGATGATGGTGTTCTTGCATTATACATAATAATCACTACTAGGCCACTCAAAAATGCAGCATGCTTTGTTCTGTGTATGTAAACCAAGCACATATAGTTTGTGTGTGTGTGTGTGTGTGTGTGTGTGTGTGTGTGTGTGTGTGTGTGTGTTGAGGGAGGCAGAGATTTGTAAATGTTAAAGGAATTTTTCTACTGTCCCCTAGGGAGCTATTTCCTTTAGCCTTTTGTCTCTTCCACTAAAAAGTAACCATCATGTCTCCCACCCTGGCTGAACATGAGCTGTGATGGGGTTGGTGGGCATGCTCTTAACCTCTCAGCATACACACCAGTCACTGTGGAGACCAGCTGAGGCCGTGGAGCCCACTGAGTCAGCAAACCCATGCTTATTGGTAGGAAGTGTCTTCTGTTTGTTGAGAGTTTCTAACCCAGGATATTTATGCTAAATTGAACTGCAGACGGCACTGTCTTGGGCAGTGAGATTTATCTGTTGGTGGCCAACTTGACTTTGTGAGGCTGGAAAATCCTGCTTCTCCTTAGCTGCAGTACAAGCTCTGAATGTCTGAACTTAGTCCCTCCAACCTGTAAGTCTACGATGTCAGCTTCAAACAAACTAGCAAAAGGGTCCATGCACAGAATAAAGAGATGTGCAGGGGGTCAAATGCCAGATCTGTGTGACCACCTGATTTCTCTATGCTTCCATCTGCAAAAGCTGTACTTGGAAGTGAATGCTTCAGGGGGGGGGGGATGGGCCCTGTGTATTCCTTCAGAAGAAGAGGCGGAAACTCGGTTGACTTGGCTTCTTCTAACTTCAAAAAAGTACTTCAAAGTATGCACAAACTACTAACATGTAAAAAAAGAAAAAAAAAAAAAGAAAAAAAAAAACAGTTGCTGTGTTTGGTGAATAATTAAAGACCAAGAAGAGAGGTTAAAAATGAATTTCAGATAGAGTCCCCTCACCCAAACTTTTTATTCAGTACGGAAGAACCACCTTTCATGTTTGGGGCTATTTTAACTTTTTCTCATTCGTGAATAATTGTTGGATGAGTGGTTTTGTTTCATCAGCTGGGTTCCTTTTGAAGTGGTGCCTGTGGAGAACTTTCACATCTCCTCCCTCTGGCACTCTGGGAAGGACACAGCCAGAGCAGAAACCAAAGACATTTCCCCATTTCACTCTATTTTAGTTTCAAGCTCAGCATATACCGTCTGTATTTACAGGGCTGGGTGTGATGATGTCTTCAATGCCTTATAGCTTGCACAGTGATTAGGGCCACTGTCACCTGATGTTCCGGTGTCCTGACTACTGCTCTATACTCTGCTTCTGTGCACTCATTTTCTTTTTGCTTCCACTCCATATATGCTATACACACATTTCCATGTTGTCATTGTCATTTAACACAGTGTCCCTGGGAGAGCTTTGTCATTTAGCATTAACATCCCTGGATACCAACAGCCTCTTTTGCCTCTTTGTTCTGATCACAGATCCCATGCTCACACATGATCTCATATCATTCATTTTTCATTCATTCATTCATTCATTCATTTGTGGTTTCTTTGTCTGCTTCTTTACCCCAACTGGCAGGAATTGTTTTTCCTTTCCATCGCTCTATGACCAGAGCTTTCAACAGTGCATAGAATATGGAAGGGCCTTGGAAACTGCTGGTGTATCAAATATTCTATCCTCAGTTTTCACAATGGTTAAGGTGTGTTGCTGGGAGGTAAAGTGACTAACCCAAGGCCACCTGACTAGGTGTAGAGGAGGGGTAAAATCCAACAAGCCAGCACTACTAAAGATGTGGTGTCTGTCTTAATTTGGGTGCCTATAAAAGTTGAGCCCCAGGAATATGGACATATAGTTTACTTGGGAATTAATTCCATGGAGAAGGAGGGGAATTATCAAAAGTGCTGACCAGACATTATGGAGTGGGCTTCTACCTTTCATCTCTCCATGGTCCTCATGCCTTGTGCATCTCAGAACTCTTCATCTAGGGGGGATGAAGGGTAGAAAATTCACCTTCCTAACCCAAGGTGGTTCCAGGAGATGTGTGGTTCCATGAGGTGAGGTCCAGATGCATCTGTGAAACTACTTGGCTTTGCAATATTCACCACAGCATCTGCTGGAGCTAGAGAGAACTGGGTGTAGATTTTCAGTGTCTCCAAAGGGTTTCCCCTCAGCACATTTATCTGTAAGATCTGTACGCCATTCTTGTTGGTCACCACTCGGTGGCGCTATAGCATTTTACAAAGGACTTCACTTTGTTAGTGCAATGGCACATAGGAGTTATAAATACTAGTTCTATAGACTTGAAAAATTAACTGTAGGTGTTCGAAAACGGCTCAAGAGCCAGATATATTAACAAGCTGAAAATACACTCATTTATAATCCTGAGTCAAGAAAAGAAACAGGATTCAGATTTTGTGAGTCCTGTCAGAAAATGGGGAATTTCTGAAGTAGGTTAGTGAGCCATTTTCTGGGCCGAAGTTGAGAAACTCATTTCTAGAAAAATGATGAGATAATTGCAGTTGATGTTTTTGCATGAGCTAAAAAAGGTACGTTATCACAAATTAGAAACCTCCAGCTGGGACAGAACTTGTGACCTCAGGGCTTAGTTTTGGGCAAATGCACTTTGCATACTATCCGCATTTATTTGGTTGAGTAAGAGCAATATGATTTTGACAATGGCTTACTGAAAATGTTTTAGCCTGAAGTACAGGTTAACACCCAATCAAAGGGTAACATTGGATGGAATTTTATGTCTAAAAATGGAGGTGAATCTGCAAAGGCAAACAGTTTAGTTGCTTCTATATTGAGGACTTTACCTCAGGACACAGGATCGTGGCCTCAGTCAGATTGGAATGGTTTGCATTTCTTTTCTCAGAGGTTGCATGGAAGCTCAGAGATGCTGAAAGCAAAAGTTTGGGAGGAAAGTACACAGGTTGAGTGACATGTGCCCACACTGGCATTTACTCTGGTTCTCACTGTCCCACCACTTCATAGTGGTCAGGTTGAACAAGCACCATGAAGTCATCTTTCATTCCATTTACAAGTCTCCCTCAGACCACAAATTCTTTTTCCTCTTCTTAGTCACACTTGGTGAAGCATGGGAGAGTTCTGAGCTGCAAGCCCTCCACACCTGGGCTTCCTCGTATCCTAACAGAAAGATAAAACACAGTTGAGACACTTATTATCCAAGTTCGTCCACTCCAGAATTTTGTTTGTGATACCAAAGCCAGCATTTGCATCGAGGACCCCTATAGAATGGAAGAATATTTGAGCCAGCTAATTTGCATATTGCCATTTGAGTTCCCTGGGCTAATGGATAGTAAGAGAGGTGTCTTTAAACAAGCAGACATTCTGCTTTCTTGTTTTGTTTCTCATATTATTTAAATAGGAATCTTTTAACAACATATCTAGTGCCATGTACCTCACACTTTTGTGCCCTGTTTTGGAGAGCTTGTTGACTAAAATGACCCAGAGAAGCCAAGCACGGTGCTTCAGGCCTGTTATTTCAGCACTGAGGATGCAGAGGCAGAAGGATCACCATTGCAAGGCTAGCCAACTCATCCCAAAGGAAATTACAGTGGCCTTGAGTGCAGTGATGAAAAGTTGTCTAATGTTTCTAAATCCGAGGAGGCTGCGATATAAATGAATGATAAGAAACACAAAATAAAGTTCTGTGTTATCTGCAACCAAAAACGTGACAAGAGGGATACTCCTGGGAACTCCATCCTGAATTTTCCTCATGAACAGTGTTTCATGACTCACTGTTGCATTGCTAGTAGCAGCTCCATAGGCTGTTATGACTGCAAATAACTAGCATGTTTCTTCAGTGTATTGTCTTGAAGACTGACTGTGTTAGTGTGCGACAAGTAGAACAGAGTCAGGCACACCACAATTCATCATCTGTCCAGATTTACTGCACAGCCATTCCTTCATGGGGCTTTTACTGCCTCATGGGCCCCTTCTAGTCTCAGTTTCCTCAGCCCCCTGAGAGGATGAAGAGCTATTTCTCACCTCCCAGTCTACAACCCCAAGAAAGTCTGCCAAGGAGCTTGGCCATTACTGCCACTCTGGTTGTCTAACACATGTGCACCCACTGTGGATGCTCTGCACATCCTTGTTCTTAAAGTTCACATCCTACAGAATCCACTACCAAGAGCTTTGGGATCTTCTGGCCTTGCAAACCGCACCAGTTCTTAATGAAGTGGGTTGTTATATAACAAGGCCTTCCCACATGCTGCATGCCTTCCATATGTGGCTGCTTCTTCCCCTTTGGCCTCTCCACCAGGGCCACTTAACAGATGCAAGTGTTCGCCTTCCCACACACACACTGCACTGCCAGATATTTCTTGTGGGTGCTGGAGATCTAAACTCTGAGTCTCATGCTTGTGTGGGATGCACTTGGTCAATGGAGGCATTCCCCCATCATCCGACATGGCAACTCTTTGAGCTATCTTTCCTTCCAGATCCCCTAGTTGGTAAAGTTACTGTCTTCATCTGGGATGGTGACCTCACTCAACAAATGAAACTACAAACTTATCCACTAAGGCAAATACCTTATGTTTGCTAAGGCATGATGGGAAGCTGATGTTGGAAAGTTTGAAACAGAAGAATCTTGTGATGTGTATAGAGAGTGTGTTTGGCACTGGTCATTTGCTGCACATTTTCACATCTCTTGGTGTGTCTCCCTTTAAGCCTTGAATTTTAAGAAGTCCCCAACACCTGCCCTGGAAGGGACATGCAACATCTGCCCTGGAAAGAATATCTGAGTCGCATTAGGGTTTTGGTGCCAAATCGTGTAATGTCTTGTGCATAGAAGGAATGTCTGTATTTAAAGCAGTAAGTCAAGAGAATGGATCACTAATAACAGTGTTTCAGATGTAAGAACTTGGGTGAAATCAATTCTGATGAGTCCTGTCTCAATGTCCCTCAAGTGAAACAATGCTCAACAATAAGCATATAGTGCAAGAAGCAGAAAACCTTCACTTTAGTGTCTGATAAGATGATAATAGACTCAGAAAAATTCATGTCTAAACCTTTGTTCTTATTTATGTAGCTGTAACTGCAACACATACCTTGGATTTCATTCACAGTGGAGAAGATCAAAGATCAAGGCTCTTTGATCATCCCAAGCTAGTTTTGTATCTTCTTAAGAAGTTTGATGGTAGATAGACGACAATAAAATCATTCTTCTTAATCCTGCCTGAAATTGATTTTATGGACTCATTTAGGTTAAGTATTTGAGGGTTTTTTTGTTTTGTTTTGTTTTTTTTGTTTTGTTTTTTAAGTAGCATAGAGAATGCAGTTCGGGAGGGCCACAATATCTCCTATGGTAGTAATTTATTAAGTACCGGATGTGTGTCTTGTGTTGTCTTGAACCTCTTTCATTTTCAAATCATGGTCTTATTGATAGGTTATTCTTTGGTTTTGACTGCACAATAGGTGAGCAAGACCAAGGTCACAGCAAGTAAACACCAGAGCTGGGACTTGAACCCATACTGCCTTGCAACAGGAGTCTTAACCTCTTGCTGTATTGTCTCTTCGTAATTACCAGGCTGTCTCTGCTCTCCCCAGGGAGCTTTTCCACAGAAGGGAAGGGCCTGTGCATGGTGGCCAACTCATCTCTCTCTTTTTCCTTTGCTTTCTAGGTTTTGGCGGTACCCTTGGCTACCTTTTGGGTGCCATAGACTGGGTTCATCTGGAACTGGGAAGGCTGCTGGGCACCGAGTTCCAGGTCATGTTTTTCTTCTCTGGCCTGGTGTTCACTTTGTGCTTTATCACCCATCTGTGCAGTATCCCTGAAGCCCCGCTCAGAGATGGTACACAAGACCCTCCCTCATGGCAGGTCCCTCAGGGCTCTTCATTATCGGCAGATGGGATGCAGGAATATGGTTCTATTGAGAAAGTTAAATACAGTGTTGCAGACACAGACCTGGTAATGCAGGGAGGGACAAACAAGAAAGCCCCCGAACAGGTAAAGATGCAACGTCTTTCTTCTTTTTCTCTGCTTGGGGGAAAGTGTTCTTTGCTTTCTTTGTGAAAAATTGTTTTGTTTGCTGGCCTGAGGTGAAGAGTTTTGTGAAATCTATTTGAATCTTCCAAACTTCATCTGGCCATTAGCCTTTGGAATGAGAACTTTGTGCCTTGGTGGTTCTCTGGCCTCTTATTCCTTTCAAAGCATCAAACCAGGGAAGGTGATGCCAGCTGTAAGAGGTTAGACCATAGGAGAGCTCTCCAGCCACCCTCTGAGAAAACAGTCTCTTATACGAGGATTGCAATCTATAACTTTTACCCTCCAAATGACAATGTTGTTGAGTTGGTGACTGGATTAGACACACAAAACTTGCATAACATGACTTGGTTGAACAAAAGCTTCAACTTTAAAACAAAACCAAAAGTAAACAGCAGCAACAACAGTAGCAACAACAACCCCTCACCTGCATGCCAGAGGAATGGATTAGGGTTCAGAGGTAATGGTCAGCTCAAAGAAGAGATTAGAATTGTGTTGACCAATATAGAAGCCACTAACCCCACATAGCTCCTTAAATTACACTTAATTAAAGTGAAATGAAGTCTTTATTTCATTAGTTGCATTAGCCACATTTTGAAAGCTCAGAACCACATGGAAACAGTACTGGTGTCCAAGGGATGGCAAATGTAGAACTTTTCCATTGTTATAAGAAGACAGATGGGACAATATGATGCAGTAACAGAATTCTCCCATCATATTCTCTTAAATATCCACTCTTGGGGGCTATAGTACAAAGGATCCACTCATTAGCACAGACATCAAAGTCTTGTGCCTGGCTGACCAGCATTATTCATTGACAAATACCTGATAGGGTGGCTTTAGAATAGCCTAAAGATTGGCAAAACTGCCTTTTAAAATGTATGATCTTGGACATTTCCATTTCTATAAAATGGAAAAGTAATTCTATCTGCCCACAGGGCTATTGTGCAGTTCACATGGGGTGATCTATGTAAGTTACTCAGGAGCGTTACCACTGGATAGTAAGGCATTGTTCAAATGAGTCTATGAGACTGATGAATGTTCTATGTGCAACCAGGGAGTGTTATCTAGGATAAAGATATACCCACAGCCCAGTGACTCACTGCTTTCTGTGAAGTCAGCCTCTTCTGCTGGCTTAGCCGATTTGCCAGAATTCTTCTATTTTACAACTAATATAAAGATAGAAGGTGTTTCTTATTTACTTGACATTAAGTATATAAACATGTTGTTTGTAAATTATTATTCATTTAACAAGCTACTTTGGATACTGAGTATGTGCAAGGCACTTTACTAGGTGTTTGGAGACCATTATGTTGACTAAGGTCCAGACCCTGTGCCGAGGAAAATATAAGCCTGTCCTAATGCCAGAGAAATTATAAATGGGCGTGAACCATTTATACCATCACAATAAAGCACAGAGTGAAAAATGCTATAAAAGCAATGTATCCATTGAGATTTCTAAAGAGCAGGTGTTTGGGCAGAATTACATATTCAAGAGATTCTCAGGGGTAATGCCACATGAAAGATGAAGGGAAGAAAGAGGAAATGGTATTTTCCTATCAAGATAAAAGTCAAACATCTCTCTCATGCTCTGCAGTTGTAAGGGTTTCCTCCCCAGCCAAACTGGCCCCAGGTAAGCCCCAAGTCTTCCCAGAAGAGGCTGGCACTAGAATGCTACATCTTGCTTAGCCATCAATGTCAGGAATGTGTGGTAAATCTAGAGAGACAGCACTTAAACTGTCACTCATCCATGTGCTCACCAACAAGAGATCAAAGTAGCACATGTCCATGATGGTAATGATTCTCATAGCAAGTTCAATTGATTTTTCAAAGGGAAGAGATTGTTCTTAAGTGAATAGAATAAGGTTTCTTGGATGACAAAATAAAATCTCCCCAGAGTGGTGCGCTAATGATGGTCAGGATTTGAAATGGAGACTTTGGAAGAATGTGCTTGGTAGAGAAAGGAGGAACAGCAAAGACAAAGAGTTAAAACAAATAAAAACCCCCAAATATTCTTGGTGTGTATGGGGGAAGGAACATGGTAAAAATTCCACACTGACCACTCTAAGATAGCAGCCTTTCAGTCAAATCCATAAAACGAGAGGCAAGGGTGGGACCTACTGTTAGAGCATGTGCCTAGCATGTGCAAGGCCCTGGAGTTGATCCCCAGTTCCACAGAAATAAATTTAAAAAGATGTTGAAGGGCATTAGTGATAAACAGATCAATTTAACAAAAGATAAACCTTGTAAATGTACAGGATCCATCATAAAGAGCTGTCATGATTAACAAGTCTGAAGGGAGGTGCATTGCAGTAGAGTGACTACAGGCACCACCCACAGTGGTAGATAGATCATCCAGAGAAAATCAGCAAGGGCACATGGGATTGGAACTACACTTTATATCAGGTGAACCTAACTAATAGAATCGCAATACATATGTTTTCTCAATTGAACAGAACAGGGACTATTCCCTAGGAATTTAAGAAGATTAAAATTATATTGAGGGCCTTTTACAACTATAGCAGTATAAAACTAGAAGTATAGTCATATAGAACTATAAGGAACTTCATATTATTTATAAATATATGGAAATGAAATAATGTCTGAAGCAAGCCATGGATCACAGAAGAGGTTAAAAGAGAAATGTGACAATGTCTGGTGCTGTGTTTACAGCTGAATAAAATCATGTCGAAGTCTACCAAGCATGCAAACAGCTAATGCCAATTCTTCTCTAAGTCTTTTAAAGAAATCCAAAGAGAGAAAACTTCTAAATACTTCTATAAAGTCATTATTATGCAGATACCAAAGACAGACGCTGGCAGTGGAATGAATGAAAGGAGATTCACAAGCCAATATTCTTAATAAATATTGATGCAGAGATCCTCAACAAGACACTAGCAAACCAAATGCAGCAATCCATTCAAAGTGTTATTTACCATGATCCAAGTGGGATTTCCTCCTAGAATGCGAAGATTGTCTAGCTTGTATGAGTCAATCAATATGGCATAGTATATCACATTAATATATAGCAAAGGGCTAATGCTATGTGATTATCTGAAGAAATGTGGAAATGGCATTAGACAATATTCTACATATTTTAATGATTAAAAACACAATAAGTTATGTGAAGAATATCCACTCTTAGTTCTATGTAACTTAGTAGAGCAATCAGTGAAGAGAGAGATATAGAAACTGTCCATGTGGAAACAAAGAGCTTAAGTTGTCTCTGTAGAGTATAAGATCTTATATTCTTAAAACAACTCAAAATCTGTTAGAATTAAAAGATGAATTAATTAAAGGTGAGGACATAAAAAAATCAGTACATACATTTACAGCAAGCTATCTGTGCAACTTCTCACAAGCTAGGATCATCTGGGAGGAGGGAACATAACTGAGGTAATGTTTCCATTGGCCTGGCCTCTGAGCAAATCTGGGGGGGGGGATGAGCTTTTTTTTTAATGTGGCACAGCCCAGCCCACTATGGCTGGTGCCACCCCCAGTAGGTGCTCCTGCATTGTATAAGAAAGCAGGGAACTAGGCAGAAAGCAGTCTTATTGCATTGTCTCTACTTCAGTTCTTTCCTCTAGGTCTGGCCTTTTAGTGCCTGCCCTGACTTCCCTTCATGATGGAGTGTGACTGGGATGTGTAAGCCAAATAAAACCTTTCTTTCATAAGTATTCTTAGTTGGGAATACTATAGCTATGATGAAACACCATAACCAAAAGCAAGCTGAGGAAGAAAAGGCTTATTTGGCTTATACTTCTATTTCATATCCATCACTAAAGGAAGTTAAGACCAGAAGTCAAGTAGGACAGGAAGCTGAGTGCAGGAACTAATGCAGAGGGTGCTGCTTACTGACTTGCTCATCATGGCCCCATCCACAGTGGATTGGATCCTCCTGCATCAATCACTAATTTAAAAAATGCCATCTGGCTGATTCTTACCAAGGCATTTTCCTCAATGAGTTTTTTTTCCTTTCAGATGATTCTAGCTAGATGTAAAAGTAGCCAACACACCAAGTAACTTTATGTCATGATGTTTTATCACAGCAATAGAAAGCAAACCAGAATACTATCTAGTACTAAATACTATCTAGTACAGTAGCTACAAAAAATACTTAGGAATAAGTTTAGCTGATATCTGTAATTAGAGACTATGAAGCAATGATGAAAGATATTGAAAACACAATTAAATGAACGTGAGGAGAATTAACATCATTAAATATACATATTACTCAAAGCAGTCTAGAAATTCAATGCCCTATCAATTCCAATCACTTTTTTTTTCTCAGAAACAGAAAAAAGTCTTGAATTCTATATAAAATCATTAAGACCAGAAGTATCCAAAGCTTAAACAAAAAGATCAAAGCTAGAGGCATTAATTACTTTATTACAAAACTATATGATTAACATGATAAAGTATGAAAACCAATGTGTAGATTAATGGAATAGAATACACAACCAAGAATTAAACCTTGGGTATGATATTTGGCAAAAGAATAGCTAAAGTACCCTACAGAGTAAAAGAAAGTCTTCAATAAACAATGCTGGAAAATCTATGCACATGTAGTAGAATGAAGGTCAATCTTCATAACACACCACATTGAAAGCCAACCAGAATGAATCATAAGACTGAAACATAAACCTCAAACAGTAAAACAACTAGAAGAAAACAGCCTGGAAAGCCAAATGACCTTAATCTGGGAATAGAGATTCTTCATTGGTTATCATCCCAAAGCACAAAGAAAGGATAGAAACATGGGGCTGCATGACACTAAAAGTCTGTGCAGCAAAGGAAACTGCCAACAGAGTGAACCGGCAAGGTGCCGAATTGGAGGGTGAATTCGTAAACCATATATGCTGGCAATCTGTTACCATTCAAAAGGAACTCAGCAAATGAAGGACTCCATGGTTTTTGTTGTTGTTTTGGTTGGGGTTAGTGTGTATGCAGGGGGGGGGGGCTTCTTTCATTATGCTGTTTCTTATCCTATTGTTTTATTTGTTGGTTTTGATTTTCAATTGTTTTTTTTTTCTGAGAGAGAGAGAGAGAGAGAGAGAGAGAGAGAGAGAGAGAGAGGAACAGATACACAGAGACATGGAAAGGGGAGGGAGAGAAAAACCAAAAGATAAACATGGAAATGGAGCATCAGTTAATCCTGTCTAGTCATTCCATAATGTATACATATTTCAAATCACCATGTAGCACATCTTGAACAATATTTTTCAGTTGAATAACAAGAAGAAAAATGAAGCAAACAATAGCGGTATGTATAACATATGAGATTTGGCTTCTGAATGGTTTTTGTTGTTTGGTTTAAGAAACACACTAGGCCAGGTGTGGTGGCCCATGCCTTTAACTCCAGCACTCAGGAAGCAGAGGAAGTTGGATCTCTGTGAGTTCAAGTCTATCCAGGTCTGTGTATCAGTTACAGGCCAGGCAGGGCTACTGTAAATAAGACTTGTTTTAAAACAAATAAAAAATAAACTCAAATGTGCAAAGCAAAAAAAAAAAAAAAAAAAAAAAAAAAAAAAAAGAAAGGAAAAAGAAAAAAGATAAGAGTGTTATAAAAGAAACCAATTAAGAAGACACAGAGCAAAAAAAAAAAAAAAAAAAAAAGAAAAGAAAGAAAAAAAGAAAAAAAAGAAGACACAGAGCAATGCAGAGCAATGTAGTGAAGCATATGGCACTTCCCTTTGCCATGCACATCCAGGATGTCTCCGGATATGTACATCAGGACCAAGATCAAAGCCAAGGTCAGAGTTGACATACTTTCTCATAGTCCCTGATTCCAAACTGAGGGAAGCTGCACAAGGAACTAGAATTCTGAATGGAAGGAGACTTGAACTGTTTTGGAGTTCAAACTAGTTCCCATAAAAACTCGTCTCCCATCCCTGCATGCCAAAACAGTTTCTCTTCTCAACACTTGTGACCTCTCTGTCAAAGAATACTTTGGCATCTTCTTCCTGAGGAGTCTGAAGCTTGTTCATCTGCAAACCCACCACTTCCCAGTCACCAGCTGATGATGGAGTAGAGTCTGTGCAATGAAATGACTCTCAGGGGCTCAAAGCCATTGTAAGGGATTTTCTCAAAGAATTGACAAGTCAGGATATGATGCCAGCTAGATTTTCATTCCGAGTTAAAATACTGAATATTTATATTTCCAGCTTTTACAGAAATGCTAAGCTCAACTTGAAGGCTCACATTTATTTTTGGAAGGAAGGAAAAATTAGGTTAACAATGGAGCAGGCTGAAAATTATGTGGAAGGCAGAAAGATCCATTAATATTTTGAGTGAGGCAGAATGCAAGCATGCTTGCCAGACTTTCCTGATTGTGCCTTTTGAGGGAAAGGAGAAACAAAATGAAAAGAAAGTGCTGAATTTAAAGCATGGAAATCAGCTACCATTCCCTATATAATGCCTACCTTTCCCTATGAAGAAAAATAAGTTCTAGACATTTGTTACAGTAGCCTTTTGTTTTAGGTATTATTTTCTGCATGCAGACTATTGTTTTTCCTAAATACAGGACAGTGCTTATTTTGTGTGTGTGTGTGTGTGTGTAAATATATATACTTCATACATATCTACATATATATGTATACATATATGTAGGGAGTAAAGCTTTTCCTCCTGCCACCAGTCTTGTCCTGCTGCTGCGCCAGCCCCAAATAACGCACAGAGACTCTGTATTTGATATTATGCTGTTGGCCAGTTACTTGTTTCTTATCAGCTAGCTCTGTCTTAATTATTAACCCATTTCTATGTATTTCCACGTGGTCTTACCAGCGAGAGGCGGCTGGCGGTTTTGCCTTCTCCAGACTCTCCATCTTGACCCCTCCTTACTACTTCCTCTTTCCTCCTCGTCTCCTAGTCCCGCCTATCTTGCTTTCCTATTGGCCAACAGTTCTTTATTCATTAAACCAGTATGAGAAACATATTTACAGAATCACATCTCCCATCACATATATAGAAGAATAAGAAATTAGTATAGTCACCATCAGTGGGTTAAATACTGCACGATGCATAAAGTTGACTGAGTGTGATGGTGATATCTGTAATCCCAGTACTTAGGAGGTGAAGTTAAGAAGACTGGATGTCCAAGGTCCTTCTCTCACCCTCATGGACATGTCAAATTCAAGGTCAGCCTGAGCTACATGAGATCCTGTCTCAAAACACAAAACGGAAATGAGCATTATGAAATTGAAAGTATCAACTATACAATGAGCCTAGATTTGTAAAATCTAATTTCTTCAACAAAGAAGAAAGAAAAAGGATCAGATAATTTAAGAGTTATAAAACAAGGCAGCTGGAGAGGTGGCTGCCTTGGTGGTTAGGAGCTGTCTACTCTTCTAGAGAACCTGAGTTCAGTTCCCAGCACCTGCATGGCAGCTCACAACTGCCTGTGTCTCCAGTTCCAGGGAATCTGACACTCTCACACCAATGCACATAAAATAAAAAAAAATTATTTTTTAAAAGGAGTTATAAAGCAGAACAAGGCAAGAATGAAGTCTCACATGCAAAAAATAACTTGCAGTAAAAATACCAGGAATATAATGCTTAATATAACAGAGTGAGTGGTTATCTCATCATAAATTTATTCTTTCCTCACATTTCCAATTATGTAAAGAAATATCCCATAATAAAGTACTATATGGCAATAAGTGATAAAAGGACTTATAAGACAATATGCTATCATAATGAAAATAGGCAATGTCAGGAGATTGATAACTCTACTAAGTAGGTCTCAATTTCATTATGTCAAGATGCAGAATTTTTTAAATGCCAAGAAGAACCAGCAACCCATCTCAGCTGACGTTCATATTTTCATTGTCCTTAGGGAGGGTAACTGCTTGATTCTTTCTTCTTTTACATGACAAGATGTTAAAGACTTTTTCTATCTTTAGTTGTATCTAGTGCTCTCAAGCTTACTGAAACCAAATAATAATAGTAGTGATAATAATTACAGCCCCTGCCATTAGTGTATAAATCTAAAGTGAGGAATATGGGGTATGAGTATTTATCTTTTATATGCGTGTTTACTCTGTTCACATTTAGACTCAACACAAAGCTCACTTACATATGCTGGTCATTGGCAACAGTCAGAGAAATGACATTAGAGCAGGAAATTTCCTGCCAAGGTCAGGGAACTGGCTAGCTCTGCATTAGTTTCTTAAAACATCACTACAAATGTAGCAGTTTAAACAACATCCATCAATCATCTCACAGTTTTGTAGGTCAGCAGTGTTGGTGGGCTCTAGTGGTTCTCTGCTCAGGGTCCTACATCCCTGCAATCATCACATCAACAGTGTTCTCATCTGGAGATTTAATGGACAGAATCTGTCTTCAAGCTCATTCAAGTCATTGGCAGAATCCAGTTTCTCGTGGTATGAGAGTATGTCCCTATTTTGTTGTGGAGTATTGCCCAGGAGCTGCTTTGAGTTTTGAAGGATTACCCTCAGCCCCTTTCCATGTGGCCCTTTCTGTTTTTAACCACCATGCTTCAAGATGCTCTGAATTCTGCTTCTGCCTCCAGCTGGAAAAAGAAAACCCTCTGGTTTCTAATGACTTTTGTGATTCAACTAGTATTAACCAGGTAACTCTCCTATTAATTCCCTTGAGGTCCATTAATTAGTAAACTTAATGGTATTTTCCAGACCCATTTTTTTTTACATGTAATAAACACAATCCTGGTGTCATCAAGAAAAGAAATCATGAACTCCATGCTCTAAGAACAATAGTTATCTAAGGGATTGTTTAGCTTTGTCCTCTTGCAGGCATATCGTTTAAAGTGTTAGCTGTTTCTTACATCTTGGACTGCGTGTAGCTCTGTTCCAGAACTCTCCACTTTTAGAATATGAAAGCTATTTATGACCTGGGAGCGATAAGTAGTTATTAATTTTTAACAGCACATTATCAATATGTTTGTCCCATGGAAACCTAGATGTGATGTCATATGGTAGACAAGTGAGAGATGTAGCATATGGCTATTTCTCTGACTTCTGCTGCTGGCTGGGCACCAACACTGAAGACCTGTGCTTTCTTCCAGAGTCAGAGGGCAATGTCGATGAAGTCACTTCTGAGAGCATTAGTGAGCATGCCGTCCCATTATCGCTGCCTTTGCATCAGCCACCTCATTGGATGGACTGCCTTCCTGGCAAACATGCTGTTCTTCACAGATTTCATGGGACAAGTAATGAATGCATTATGTTCACACACTCATTGGGGGCTTATGTCTGGCCTTCAGAATAAGTATAGCAAAGAGTGCCTTCAAGGAACTGGTTTACACATATGTTCTAGAAATAGGCTGATATACTCTGTAAAAGGAAATACTCTCAGATCTATTACTGTGTGATCAGATACAACAAATAGACAAGAGTAGATATTATCTTCAGAGCTCTGGTCAAGCTTCATAAAAGAGGCATGTGGCATGATCCCAGACTCGAAGGGTGACTTGGGGTTTCGGAAATAAAACAGAGCAAGAAAGAATTCTAAATGGGAATAGAAATGGTGTGGGCAGAGGTGAGTTGGAAGTCTGTTAGCTGTACTAGGGAATGGAACTAAGTCATATGGGGCTAGGTGTTAGGATGAGAGATCACCCTGGAGAAGTGTTATTTAGATATACTTCATGAAGGTCCTTCAATAATACATGAATGGAGTGACCTGGTGATGTTTGATTGAATTCTATGTTCTAGGAAGGGCCCTTTCCCCAAGGTTTGAGAAGCATGAGAAGAGCTCCCTACTACACTGCAGCGATTAGTCAAGCCCTCGAACCTCTCTTTCAGATCGTATACCAAGGGGATCCCTACAGTTCACACAATTCCACAGAGTTTCTCACTTATGAAAGAGGAGTTGAAGTTGGATGTTGGGGCTTGTGCATCAACTCTATGTTTTCTTCAATTTATTCTTGTAAGTATTCTTTTCCTAAGACAGCCTAGTAGTGGGACACAGATTTTATACTTCAAAATCTGTTTTCTTTCTCTTTAGAGTCTTAGATTCTTGATAATGTTTAGGAACTCAGGGGAAACTATTCCTTTAGAGAGGATCTTATGAAGTGTTATTTGTCATTTTTCAAAGTCAATTCTAGAAGTCATTGCCCTTGAATTATGCTCATAATCGGTAGGTTTCTGGGAATTAAATAAAACAAAACAAAAATAAATAAATAAATAAAAAGGGAATTTTGTGAGCTATGGTGAAATACTGAGTGGATGAATTCCAGCAGCTTTATGTTCTGCTGGAGAAAGACCACAAGTGATTTCATAGGTGTTTTGTAGATTCATAGATAATTTAGTAAATTTGCAAATGAGTCCTAATTCTTCCTCTAGCTAACTTAAATTGTACTTCCTTTGTGCTATTAGTCAAGTTTTCCTTTTGCTTCTCAACCTACTCTTGGCAGAAGCTATCATTTTTTTTTTACTTTAGAACATGTTGTTGCTACCTGTTCTCAGTTCATCTTATAGCATCAGATGAAGATCCAGCATTTCCAGCTACCTAGAGCTCCACAGGACAACCTGGATGCCTGGGTGGGGAATAGTGATAGAGAACTGAATTCATGTTCATCTCCATCTGCACAGCCAAGGAACAATTGAGATATAGCTGACCTGCCTATCCTATACTAGTATTCATGCCTAATATTCAACTCAATAATTTCTTTCTATCACAAAGACAGTACTGTTGAGGATGTGGCCACCTGGGTATCATAGGCAGCAGAGGCAAGAGAATTATGTCCTTGAAATTTATTGGCTTTCCCTCATGAATAAAGCACATTAAACCAGACTTTCAACCTTTATACTGTTGTTATAGATGTGTTCAAATATCTCTTTATCTTTCTTTGCCTCCCTTTGGCTTGCTGACATACCTAGAAAAGAACTAGGTATTAATGATATATTTTGATCACTGAGATACCTTAGACTGAATTTCTTGCATATATATATTATATATATATATACATACATATATATAATATATATATAAATCATGAAACAAATAGGCTTGTCAAGGATTATTATGAATTATTATTATTTTATTATTATTATTATCATTATCATTATTATTATGGAACTAGATTTGCACTGCTTCCATTCTCAAGCCTTAGCAACAGTACTCCAGACATGGAATGCATTTGATAGGGGAAGTAATGTTGTCTGCTTGTCATTTCTACAGCTTGTCTTCCATTTAGTGACCCAAGATAGTGTTTTGTTTTGAAATTGATTCAAGTATAATACAGATTTTGTTTCTTGCCCATGAAGTCTAAGTCTAGTAATTCCAGTGGCTAAGCAATATTTCATTCTTAATAGGTACATCTCAAGCATCTATCATTTATTTTTTGGTTGATGTGGTCCAATAGACTAAAATAGAGTGATCATTTTGTCTCTGTTGTTATTTTTGTGTATGCAAAGTATATGCCAAGAGGAGAACCAAGTTCAAAGTCAGCTATTTTTGAGCCACCCTACAGTTGGTAAAATGGCAATAACCACAGTGTTTGTTTTCTATGTGTTCTGTAGTGGGCTGGGTGATTTTTCATATATTTTACTTCACTTGATTATGACTAATAACAACCACTACAAAGAATGGCATTTTACTTCCATTTTGTATGTAAGAAACCTGATATGATGATCAGTTAAGAAACTTGTCTCCACAGAAGAGGAAGCCATGGGGGAACTGTGAGAAACTCTTCACAGCCTTTGTATGATTGACAAGACAGAAAAAGTCTGCAGAGAACCTCACACCTTTCTTAGTTGTGCAGACTGTCTTCAGGTTGGGACTAAGAAACTAAGAATGACTTGTATTGTTCTACAAAGCCTGGTTGTTTTCATATCCCTAGCCTGTCTTTGGGTGGTGAGGTCAGGCTAAGTATACATTGTTCATTGGGTTCTTTTGGGCCAGAACTCTCTCATTTGAATGAACAAGAACCTTCCTCTGTATCTTTTGTCCTCAGGGTCCCATCACCAAGGTTTGGGGTTTTTTCCCCTCTTCTTTTTTACATTCTTTTTATATTTGGCTGGGTGCTAGGAAGTACCTGGTTCTCCTCCATGAACAATAAAATTAGCAAGGCAAATTTATGATGTCTTTTATGCAAAGGATTTAAAACTGATCCCCAAATCAAGCTGTTTCTTGCACACAGATAAGGAAGTGTTTTGTTCCTGACTCAGTATCAAAGGACCTTGTCTAAAAATGCATCATCAAAAGGAAGGATTATCTGAAATTATTAGATATTGTGAGGCACCTGCCAGCTGTAATTTTTTCCCATTTATTCTCTCAACAGATTTTCAGAAAACTTTGGTTTCCTATGTTGGATTAAAGGGCCTTTATTTCATGGGATATTTGCTCTTTGGCTTGGGGACAGGATTCATAGGACTCTTCCCAAATGTCTACTCTACCCTGGTCCTCTGTTCTATGTTTGGTGTGATGTCCAGCACATTGTATACTGTGCCCTTTAACCTCATTGCTGAGTACCACCGTGAGGAGGAGAAAGAGGTGAGTAACAGTGGAATTCACCTGAAAGATGGAGGAAGGGAGAAATTTTGCAGAAGAGTAGAAAAACAATTATCACCGTGTAGACAAGACTACTAGCCTAGCTGAGTTCTTCCCTCCTCCTCCTTGCTGTGAACCCTGGTGCACCTTTTGAGTTTTAGGACAATGATAGTTACTCCCAATTATTTGATTAAAGAAGGTAGTATTAGTGATGCTAGTAAACCAGTCCATGATCAGACTGAGACAACAGAATGGGAACCAAACTCCTCTGCAACCACCCTACAGTGTTTCCCAATTCATGTCAGCATTTCTAGATGCACACAATGATGTCTTCCCTGCAGAGGGCATTTCTTAGGGTTATGGGTTGGAGTTGTGACTTGATTCTTACCATACTTTCTGGAGAGGTGATACCCACCTATGGCTTGGAATTCAGACCACAAGGTAGGACCTTAAGCAGTCCTCCTGGCTGTATCTGAGGAATGCAGTAAAGACACCACTGAAATGGCTGCTCCATCATTAAGTGCTTTCTTATTGTGGGTAAGACAGAGAAAATATTCAGAGGCATTTGAAAGAGTTCAGACCAGAGAGAAAAGGAAACAGACTGGACATGGCCAAGGTGAGGGGAGCAGGAGAAAAGCAGAGAATAGCAGAGTGAACACGGGAAGAGTGGAGGGTTATAAGGATGAGCAGCTGAAAGGAAGGAGGGAAGCCCTGAGTGTGTGTGTGTGTGTGTGTGTGTGTGTGTGTGTGTGTGTGTCTAGGATGGGGGCTTCAAATGTATAATGGGTACTTGTGAATTAGGACTGTAGAGCTTAGGTATGTAACCACAGGTCTATGTCAATGAAGAGCCATATGTTCCTCCTCTGGAGACAAGGGAAATGATTCCTTTTGGCAAAGAAGAAACTCAATTCACTGTCAGAGCCTGCTCCAACAAGTCAGCTGAGTTACCCGAGTAGGATCATGAGGATTGAGAAAAGGCAGATAAGAGAAACAGAGACAGAAACACAGGATAGATTCGATAGGACTGCCCAGTCCATGCCTTTCAGCACACCAGACAGCCCCAAGTTTAATTTAAACCCTACTTATATACAGACTAGAAGCAAAGCAGAACAAAGAGCAGCATAGTCAATTAACCAGCTACCCGCACTGTCCTTGAATCAAGGAGCAGCCAGGTTCACTATCTATCACGTGGGTCCTACTAGCAGCAAGCAGCTGCATTAGCTATGTGTGTGCCTACAGCTGGCACCAGTAGCTCAATAGAGAGATAATATACTCTTTCCTATGGGCGTAATCAGAGCTTTCTCACAGAGGCTCTCAAGGAGACTGAAACAAGCAAGCTTGAACTCTAATGTCTTACAAGTCAGAATATACTTCATATGGAAACTGAGTCACTCACATTTCACAAGTTGCTAAAGCATGATGGCTTTTTTTTCTAACTAGAAACCCTTCTGTTGTTCAGCTTGAGTGAGCCTAGGCTGCCATTTCTGGACATATGCACTTGGAGAATTAGAGTTTCTTCTGGACCTGACAATGAGAAGTCTGGGTAGTTCTGTTCCAGAACTGCTACCTCTTCTAATTAAGGCATATTTTATGCCTTAATTAGGTATACAATGAAATACAATGAAAGGCATTCTCTATGCAAACTGACTTTTGCTTTCTTAAGTAGAGCAATGATGGGAAATCTAAAGTGATAACTGAGTTCAAACCATCTCAGCCTGAAACCATAACAACACCAAATGTGTGCCAGTGTAACATCAAGCTCATGTCAGTGGGATACTGAGTACATGTTAGTGTGACATAATTTCAGCTTTCGTTTACATCATGTACTTGATTTGGTAGGTGCTGCAAGGCAGAACTGCACCAGGAGTTAAGACTTTCCAAGCAAGAGTAGTTAGTTGTCCTTTTCCACAGTAAAAGTTGCAATGCATTATGGGGAGGGGCTACTATTTGAAAGACAGTCACCAGTGAAGCCTCCCTATTTTGAAAGAGTACTGGCACCAAAGGGTATAAACTGACAACATGACTATTCCATGGTATGGTTAAAGGGAAGGTTTTTGTTGTAGATATGACAGAACAGCCATACGCATCTGGAAGAGTGCAGAACAGAGAGGGAAATTAGTAAACTGAGCATGAACAGACTGGACATGGCCAATGAGAGAAGCAAGAGCAGAGCAGAGAGAGGGAAAGTGTGGGAGAGTAGAGAAAAGGGAGAGAGAGGGGGGGAGGGAGGGAGAACAAGCAAGAGAGGGAGCATGGTTGAAATAGCAGGGTTATAAGGAGAACGTACTGGCAGGAGGGAAGTCCACGAGCTGGGGGGGGGGGGTTGGGGTAGGAGAGGAGATGGGAAAAGAGAGCATGCTGTCTGAAATGTGTAGCAGACACTTGTGATATTGAGGGAGCCTGGAGGCCAGGATGCACTTTGGTGGTTCCAATAGCCACCATAGATACCCACTCCTCCATTGTGCCAGGGATAAGGGAAATGACTCCTTTTGGTGGAGGGGAATCCGTTTCACAAGTTCCTGAGTAATGCTGGCTTTTGACTAACCACCAGAATTTTGGGGAAATGGATTTTCCTTTGCATCTAACTCAAGGCAAACAAAACACAACAAACAAATGAACAAAAAAACACAAACCAAAAAGTCACAGAAAAGTAGATTGAAATTCTGTCCTCTTTGAAGCTGTGTGACACTGATCATATTTTTCATTAGTCATTAAGTAGCAGTTAAAATGAGCTCACTTATACAAAGGTTATTGTGTCACAGGGGTCAAAATCACAATATACAAAAGTGCTCTTGTGAAGTCGCTCCCTCTATAACTTTTGTATCCGTGTCTCCAGCCCACACCTGCTATATTACCACTCTTGCTAGAGTTCTTAAAGTTTATCTTTTCAATATTTTAAAATGAGAATCAAGCAAACATGAATGTGTTTTCATATTTCCCCATTTTTATTGAAAAGATAATATTCAATTATTTTACTCAAGAGTAAAGGGAATGAACATCCAGACAACAGATATCCTCATCAATCAAGAGAGATTAGTATCACACACACACACACACACACACACACACACACACACACACCTTTAATTGGGAGGCAGAGGTTAGTGGATTTCATTGTATTCGAGGCCAGTCTGATCTACAAATAGAGTTCCAGGACAGCCTCACAGAACTCCAAGAATGACAGCTAGAGTTATTATTGTTCTGGGGATGGTGACAACAATATCTGTACTTAGGTGAGTGGTAATAAGAAAAATTAAATCCTGGCTGCAAAACAGCTTTGCACAAGGCCTTGCATGTAAGAGACACCAGGTGAACCAACTGTTAACATATTAACTAAATAACCCTGCTGTGAAGGGGTTATTGCTTCTCGTATGTTTAAAAGTAATTTAACATTCTTTTGAAATCACGGGCCTTTTGTTTTGTTTTTTTCATTTGTTTTTTAGAGACAGGTTTTCTCTGTGGGATGGTCCTGGCTGTCTTGGAACTCAATTTGTACACCAGGCTGGGCTTGACCTCACTGATATCCACCTGCCTCTGCCTTCCAGGTGCAGGGGTTAAAGGCCTATGCTACCACCGCCCAACTACCAATACTGCTTGCCTTTTTAACACCAAGGAAGGAAAAACATTTTTTTATTTGTTGCTTTGTTGAGTTTCTGCAACACTTTATTTATGTATTTCTTACAAAGAGCATCCTGACAATATTCATGCTTAAGCCATATACTCATTAAAGCTGGAGGAAAAGGCATCCTTGCAGATGAGGAAGACAGCATCAATGAAGTTCCCTAGAGTCTACCAATTAGGGATTAGCAAACTATGGCCTGCTGGTCAAAGGCAGCCTGCTGTTTTCAGATAGCTTATAAGATAATAACTCCCTTTCAGTTTTTAAAAGATTGAAATTAATTCAAAGAAGGAAGGATGCTGTTTCGTGATGCATAAAAATGGCATGGAATCTAATCAAGGTTGCATTAGTTTGCAATTTTTTCATTCTCGAAATCTTTCTTGACTTGTGAGATCAGAGTCAGTTCCAACCAAGATCCTATGAAGTACAAAGGTATTTGCCATTGGACTCTTCCCTGAAAAAGTAATCTGACCCTTGACCCTGCATAGCAGTGCCCTGTAGATGAATGGTTGTTCCTGTGTTTCTCTTGCAGAAGCAGCAGGGAGCCCCAGGAGTGCCTGACCATGGTGGCAGGAGAGGCAAAGGTGTGGACTGTGCTGCACTCACCTGCATGGTGCAGCTGGCTCAGATCTTGGTTGGAGGTGGCCTGGGCTTCCTGGTCAACATGGCTGGGAGTGTCATCGTGGTGGTGATGACAGCCTCTGCGGTGGCACTGATAGGCTGTTGTTTTGTGGCTCTCTTTGTTAGATATGTAGATTAGGTTTTTAATGAGACATGGACCCAAACCTCAGACAAATGAGGCCTGTGGCAAGAAATGAGGCTTTGGGTACTGTATACCCCATGTTGGAATCTCCCTTGTGTGCCCGGGGAAAGGTGAGTGTGGCCTACCTCACTGCAACTTCCTTCCTGCTGCCCCTCTCGGCAGGGATGGGAAAGTCAGCTTCTGCTTCTCAACAGGTATTTCAGGTCCCAATAACATCTGAGGTACAAACAAATCCCACCTGTGATGATTATACTATAATTTAAAAAATAAAAGCAGTCCATATATCGTTGGAAAATCACATATTTCATCAATTCAGAAATGACTTAAAATATTGCTGATTGCTTTATTGTGTTGATTTATTCAAATTTAATATGCTCATAATTAATTCCAGTTAATGTATGGTATTCTTTTTTTTTTCTTTTTAACCAAGGTGAGGATTTACCCAGGCTCATATGAACTTGAATGAAAGTCTGCTAGGTGTTTCTTTGAAATGTTCCCTACCTTCCTTCCACCAGCATTTCTGTCACTTGAGAACATATATGTGCCCCCCCACACACACAAACACTCTTATAGAAATATATCCTAGGAGTTAGAAACACTTCTTTACTACATAGTCTGGACTCACACTCTAACTAGCCTAATTTCTTAACCAATCTGCTTGAGTGTCTTATTCTGAAAGCTGTGCATCTTAAGAGTGTTCATTTGTTTCATTGATGGAGTAAAACTATTTTTCTTGAGTCTGTACCTTCTTCATTTCAACATTTTCAAAAAGCAACTCCTAGGTTCCTTCCATGATATTTTGTCCCACCCCCCAAATAAGTGCCTTTTCTTTAGCCAACCCCCTCAGGGAGCAGCCTGAAGAGATGCCGAGAGACCACATTATTTAATAGGAAAACCAATCATGAGTTTTAGAACCTGGCTAGTTTTGATCCTTTCTTTGGTATTCAGTGGCAACCTATTTAACATCCCCAAATGACACATACTCATGAATGCTTTTGGTATAATGAATTCCAGTCTTGGAGCATTGTGACAATTGGTACATAGACTGTGGAGTGTTTCCCATTAGTGCCCAGGTTTAAACTTCATTGATAACAATTCTGACAATGGGTGCTATGGCTGATCTTCACTTTTAGATGAGGAAACTGAGGCAGAAAACCACTAGGTAGTTCATCTGAAGCCATGCAACTAGTAAATGGCAGGGCTGGACTTGGAAGCCACTGCTTTGTCTCTACTGCTTCCTGTAGAGAGCAAACACAGGCAGGTGGCTGGCATGTGATCAGTGCTTAACGAATGGCATGGTCTTTGCTGGCAAAGCCCCATCAACAGCCCATTCCTCCTTGGGTTTTCTGCAGCCTTTGTTAAGTATCAGCTGTACAACTCCAAATGTGCCTGACCCATGCAGAAAGGACATTTGCCCATATGACTTTAGGTGTGAAAGATACAGTTATGTGTTTTTTTGCCTAGTAGAAGGGAATTCTGAGAATGGCAATGAGCTGCCTCTCCCAATGTGGTTGTTTGGGAGTTGGGATGTTGCTTTTGTTTGCCCTGTGCACAGTAGAATGGATAGTTACTATCAGGCCATTTGGGATTAGCAATTGGGAGAAGGGAAGAAATGCTTAGGTTGTTTTCCAAAGACCTTTATGTCCTCTTTTACTCATTGTCCTGTGCATAATGGGTGCATCCCTCCACTCCAATGTTTTCAGGGCTCACAGCAAGAGGATGAATGACATTGAATGCTATGACCCAAGGGCCAGATCTCCCCTTTCATTGTTGTTTCTATTGTACCTATAACATGCTAACACTTGTAGTGTTAGTGCATCTGTGCACTACTGCATACTTCTTCACCTCTTCCTACCATTCCCACAGCCACCCTTACACCTAAGAGCACATAGACCGAGTGGTGTGCCTTGCCTCTGGAAGATGAACTCAGTAAAGACCTGTGAAGTTTTTTCAAATGGACTCACAGGATGTTTCCATGGGGGTGGAAGGTTCTGGGACCTAGGATATGGGCTGACAGCATTTCATTCCACGAGGAGATTCCAGGCAGCCACCGAGGAAGCAGAGTGTGTAGAAAATGAGGTAACAATGCATGAGCCATGTGGCAAAACATAGGTAGGAAATATGGGTTAATTTAAATGTAAGAATTAGGTAAAAACAAGTCTGAGCTATTGACTGAGTATTTATAACTTACATTAAGCTTCCCAGCCAGTTATTTAGGAAGCAGCTGCCTGTTGTTTGGGAGCAGGCATTCGGAACAGGAAAACTTATTCTACATATACTCACCTCTATGAGAGTTCCATGTCATTCTTAATTCTAATTCCAAGGAGATTGTGTTGGTCTTTGAAGACTTGGGAATGAACGAATGTACCAGCTGGGAATATGTTCTTCAGCTGAGGGCCATCCTGCTTGAGCTGTAAAGAAGTCAAGCATGGCCACCACTGATCAGCCACAGGGCATGGCCTTTATTACAAGTGACCAAATATCATTGAGTCATTGTTTGGCCAACACAAGAAGCAATAAATATTACTATGTCAATGTACAATGTTGATTTTGTAACATTTGATAAAATACTAAGCTGGGGTAAGGACCTAAAGCAATCTCTGTCTCGCTATCTTCGGTCTGTCTGTCTGTGCCTCTCTCTCACACACAAGTGCTTTACCCATTGACCTCAACTCCATTAAGGTCTGAATGAGTGGACATAACACAATTTTTAAAAGCCTCTGACTATCTCAAGAAACCAAAACTTTTATTTTCTTTGGCAAATGAATTTCATTCTGGCAAAAATCATCTTAACTTTAGACAAATAAAATTAATGTAGGGGTGCAAACATTTTTAGTAGAAATCCAGGGAACTCCTAAGGGAGAAAGGGAAGGTACATTACTTCCCACACCCATAATCTATCTGCTTCCTCTTTCCCCCTCCACCATCACTTGTCAACAATACACCCTATCCCCTAGATGAGCAAATCCTGTCTTTTCTCCCTGGATTCTCATACCCCCCCCTTTTTTTTATTGTAGCCTCACTGTAATGTCCTAATCATTGTTCTCTGTATTGTCTTGCTTGGTTCTCTGGCTTCTTGTCCTGAGTGTGAATTCTGGACTATGTCTGGTTTATGACCCACCCACAGGCATACACAGGGGCTGTCCAGCCACAGCTAGTTGTTCTATCTTTGAGTAGACTGAATCCATAGTCTTTGATCCCCCTGTGGTGTTCTCTGAAGCCCTCACCTTTGGATTTGGAAAAAGTGACTCCTCCTACAGAGATTTGCATGAAGTCTTGGCCCCAGAGCAGTATCTTCTCTTTTTGTAGTGCCCACAGCAGAAACACACACACATCACTATCTTTTCTTAAGAATTCTGAGCTATCCACAAATCATGTTACTGTCAACATCGAAATAGCAAGTGACTTTACTCTCCCAGTCTAATACCAATGGGCATCTGTTTCCTCTGAGGTTGGCCCTTTTATTTATTTTGTATATTGGAGCATGCATTAGTTGGAGTTTCTACTGCTGCAACAAAACACCATGGCCAAAGAGCAAAGTGGGGAGAAAGGGGTTTATTTGGTATTCTAATTCATCACTAAAGGAAGCCAGAATGGGAACTGAAAGAGGGCAGAAACCTGGAGGCAGGAGCTCATTTAGAGGACATGGAGGAGTTGCTGCTTGCTTGCTCCTCATGGATTGCTCCTGATGGCTTGCTCAGCCCGCTTTCTTATAGAACTGAGGACCACCAGCCTAAGGATGGCATCACCCACAATGGGCTAGACCCTCCCCCATCAATCATTAATTAAGAAAATGCCCCACAGCTGGATCTTACAGAGGCAGTTGAAGTTACTGCCTTTCAGATAACAGTTTATGTCAAGTTGGCATAAAACTATCCAGAACAGAGCATTAGGGGCTCACATTCCAAACACTGCTGGCCTGGTCGCTGGTCAATACCAGTACCGATGATGCCAAAGAGCAAAGGAGGACTGATGTCGCTGCTTCAAAACGAAGCTGCAGGACTTGCTTTGATTTTGTTCTTTTCGTGGAAGGCATCTGAATGTCTGGAACTATGTTGCACAAAGTGTGGCTTTGACAGCAGGTATGTAGATCTCATATTCCAGGCTTTAAGTCTCACATATAACAGTACAATCTAGGCAAAATTACCCAACAGTCCTGTAGTTCAGGAGGCCATTTAAGCAACCATGTTTTTCTAATGGTTCTTCCCTGTATTAAATAACCATGCCACAGTGTGAGGTGCCTGCTCTTACAGCCTCTTAACCCAAGATCAAGCCAAATAGAACAGTAGCTTCTCTGTTGATCCTGGTTGAGGCATGGGTAGGTTAATACTTGATCTCATTCTCAGAGCAGTCTCAAGAATGGACTCTATGGAGATCTTAAAATCCTAGACTGTGACTAGAACTGAGCTGTCACAAGGAGTCTGCTCAGTCTTCAGAGACAGCCCTGTGGCTGGCATGCATACTCAATGAGCAAATCGCTCAAGAGTATGGAACTACTCTTAGCCTAGTCTTCCACTCAAATTCCAAGTGTCACTTTCTCCTTTCAGTTGCAGTGCAAAGCTTCACTCATACAAGTCTGGCCATGCTCTCAAGAAACGCCTCTTCTTTCTCTTTAGAAGAGATTTTACTTGGGTCGCCCCTCCCAAAGATCAAACCCCTAGAAACCTTCTGGACAACATTTACTGCCCTTCTAAGCCCCAAACATCACCCAGCCATCCCCATATATGCCACTCAATTTTCTCATCTCTGTTGATTCCCACTAGTGAGGGGGCTGCTAAAGCACTTTCAGGGTACTTGCTGCCTCTCCTGCAGCAATAGACCAAAGCACCAGGTATCCATACTGTCCTCAAGAGATTCTGGGTACCAGGCTTTCTGGGTACCAGGCTTTCAGGGGGAGACACGACACTCCCTCTCACTTATCTAGTCCCCCCTCCCATCCTTCAGGGGCAGAATCATAAAAAAAGGTTTCTCTATCCCATCCACTCTAATCATGGTGCTCTTTATTGCGCCTCATGTCACTTCCTAGAGACTCCAGGCAACACAGGTGACATTTGTGCTCAGAGGCACAGGGGAGAGAGAGAGAGATCGATCAGT